AAACTTACCCTTCATAAGACATTGACTTTATCCAAACTCTTTAAAAAGATTTCAGAATATGAAAATTGGGGCACAAAAATGTCTGTCTATAAGTAGCTAATATTCAAACTCCTACAAAAAGGTTTCACAACTCCATTTAAGATTGAAAAGACCTATCAGCATGAAAACTGTAAAATCATGTGCAATAGTCAGAGGGAAGTGTAGTTGGCTTTAAGGGATTCAGAGTAGTGGTCAGTTCTTAGATATTTCCTGTCCACTTCCTACCAAAACCACAAGCCAGTCAAGGTTGATACTAGCCAAACATGGCACCCCAAATATACATATTTTGAATTAATAAATTCCTATTTTGTATTGATGCCATTGTGACTCCCCTACACACATCAAATAGGGGGGGGGGGGGGGTCTACCCTTACACCATATACCAGCTTAGCAGTCCAAGATGCAGCCAAGGAGAAAATGCTCAACTTGCACAGTCGGCAACCTCACGTTTTTTTAACAGACCACACATTTTATTTTACACTGTGCAGAGCTTCTAAAATACAAATGCAAGGTTGCTGACTACAAACAACCAGAATCAGAAGATTTCTTGGTAGTCTTACTTCAGCTTCTTGCGACTCCCCCTATACAGTTCACATCTGGAGGATTAAGGGTTCAGAAATTAATATGTTACATTATTTTTCACTGATTGTTTCATTCAGCCAATTCCAACTACTTTCATGTAGTTAGAAAAAACAACTAAATTTTAGGTATTTTTAACTGATCGATTAATAGGCAAACATGCCTATAAATCGTGTCTTACTTATAAAAGTATTACATTTTCTGTCTAACTAGCTAACATTCATAAAAGGCCATGACAGGTACATTTGAGCCCATTAAGATGTCAGTATCAAACTAAATCATCTTTGTAGTCAGAGGGTATTGTGGCAAACTGATGGAAATTCAGGATATACAGTAAAACCTGTAAAGTGAAACACCTCTGTCAGTTGAACACCTCCATAAGTGGAACACTTTTTAAAGGTACCAGAGGTAGAGGAGTCCCAGGATTATATTTGTTTGATAAACCTCTGGAAGTGCAATACCTCCCAAGTGGAACACTTTTTAGAGGTACCAGAGGTACAGGAGTCCCAGGATTATTTTTGTTTAATAAACCTCTGTAAGTGCAATACCTCTATAAGTGGAACACTTTTAGAGGTACCAGAGGTACAGGAGTCCCAGGATTATTTTTGTTTAATAAACCTCTGTAAGTGCAATACCTCTATAAGTGAAACACTTTTAGAGGTACCAAATGTGTTCCACTTAAACATGTTTTACTGTACTTTGATAAGTTCCGACACAATAGAATTCCCAATAGAACATGTGGTAAGCAGATACTTTAAGTTATATTAGTCTATTTGTTAAATTTTAGAATTTCAATGGCAATAATACAATGGTCAATTACAATTGGAGATTACAATACAACATTAGACAAAAGATAAAGATAAAAGACGCCAAGTAGGTAAGTGCCTCTTTGATGTGTGACAGTTACATCATGAAAGATGTACTTCCATATATGGAGATGGACCATTAAAATACCCTGTTTTCATTATGTAGTGCACTCTCCTCTGACTGCAATGGATTATTTTACAGTTTGAATTTCAAGTAGAGTACGCTGTAGGCCCAGCCCAACCTCATTTTCAAATTTGAGAGTGAAGGATAATGGAAGGCTTGGTCAGACTCAGTTGCACCCAATTTCATTTTGTGGCATCTACTGAAATTGCAATGCTCTGATTGGCTAACTGAATTCATAGGTTTATCAACTATTTCAAGAGTGTGAGACATGAGTTCAACAATCTTCCAAAGTGTATTTAAAGTACAGCCCTCATTCAAAGTCTTGATACAAGACATTCTTACTTAAAATCATCCACAATCCATTGAGCCCTGGCTTAAATACTTAAACTTTTGGATCAATTTTGAACATTTTTATAGTTATTTGCCAGAATTGCAAAACATAAACTTTGTGTCTGATGACACCATCTGTAACCACATGATCATGAAAAGTGGTTTGATACTTTCATCAGTTTGTCTCAAATTGTATATGCCAGGTTGGAGTATTTAGATTGAGGTAGAAACAACAAAATAAATATATTGACTAATAGGAGCCCCACAAATTAAAAATTCTGTTTATTGAGGTCTATTCTACTTGGCAACTCCAAAACCTAATCAAACCCCTCGCACAAATTGATTTTTCTTTCATTTTTAATATGTACAGTTTCTTCTAACTGTACAGTAACAGGTAGAGAACAAGACATGTGTGTGATGTCACACCCTGGAGTCATGTAGAGTATGAAACCATAGAACCCATTACTTTAACTTTTTTTATTTTGGCAATATAAGACTTCCAAGACAAGATTATAGGATGAAAAATTAAAAATGCCATCTTGAAATTTACCCAGAATGCCTCATATTTAATCAGTACTATATCTTCATACCAAGAAGCATCTCTGAAAATTTCAACTCATTAAATGGTTAACCTGAAAATGGTGGAAATGTGAAGATGAGATGTCCCATCAAGTGCTAACCTTCTGGCTACAATAATAACCTGGAGGTCATTATCGAAACTTCGTAAAGTTACGAATTCATAAATCAATTGTTGTAACCATGAATATAATGAAGTCACAGTTAGGGGACAAAGGACTTTACGAATTCCTAACTTTAAGAAGTTTCTGTTAATGGCCCCCTGATCTCTTGTCCTTTTTCAGAATAAGGCTTTCCTGCTAAACTGAAGATTAAACTATATAGGCCTTGTTGGTGTAATAAACTCCAGTATTATCTCTAGCCATGTTGAAGTTGGACTTCCTGGGAAATACCTTTCAAATAATCACTTGTGTTATCATCTCAATTAATAAATAAATAAAATACAAAAAGCTTCAAATATTAAAAATCTTGAATTCAAAAATCTCTGTATCTCTAATCAGGATCTTTCAATGCACATTCTTTGTCTGGTTTTACATTCTTTTGGGGAATTTGAGTTTGTCAAGTTGATGAAGAAACGGGAAAAGTTGGAAGTATTAAAGGCCCCATGGAAAGTTTGATTCAAACCTATTTACCATGATGGGACATTTAAAGTAAAATGTGAAGGGGGCATTTGGGTGATACAAGCCAATAATCAATCTGGCATCTTGTATAAATATTCAACTGAACATAATTTTATATCATATACAGGATTTATTAACCTGTCTGCCATATACAGTGACATCATTCAATTCTGTGTACATTATCAACTAACTATGACATCATCACAAATCGTGTACTATGTCATCATACTGTGAGTACTTCAATTGTTCTATAATATAACTCACCGCCTGTTGAACATATATATTTCATATTACATAATTAGAGGCTTATTTAGCATGCTACAATTTATATAGAATATATTATTATTACATACTATTCAGTTCTTTAAAAGGGTACATACAATTTCATCTTTATACATACAAAGTGAAAGTTATTCCAAGCAAATGAAATTGGCCAATATATATATATTCAGTAAGGGTGTATTACCAGAAGTCCATAGATCTACAAGTGTGATGTCATAGATCTACAAAACTTTCTTGAAACACACCCCTGTGTTAATCAATATACCGCAAGAATACTCAAGTTTTACATTAAACAAGCCCATGGACATCCAGTATGTTAGCAAATACTCTGTGTACATAAAGGTTATAGCACAAGACAGTACAGTACAGATCAGAACTAACCAAACACTTGAAGACACGTGGACAGTAAGTTCTGATTTGTACTGTAGTAGATGAACGAATGAATAACTCACTTCTGCATGATTCATACTTCAAATTTTCAATTTACAACATTGTATTTTCTAGGAATCCATTCTAATCACCCCTATACACATTGAACAATCATCTATCTCAAGACAGTGCGTAGTGCACATTGATGCTTAGTGCACACCAATGCATTAGTGCACACCAATGTATACATTGCACACCAATGCATCAGTGCACACCAATGTATACATTGCACACCAATGCATTAGTGCACACCAATGTATACATTGCACACCAATGCATTTAGTACACACCAATACATAACTACACACAAATGCATAGAGCACATCCATACATAAGTACACACCAATGTATACAATGCACACCAATGCAAATGTCGATACTTTAAATTACATGTACATTCATTCTATAATACAGATTTACATTGTACCCCCACACGAGGGACTAGCTTAATAAAATCTAGATAACATAACGTTTAGTTACGAACACAAATGTAACAAAACAATCAAACCATAGTAAAAAGTGCAATCGGACCGAAATAAAGCATACATTTCTGTGGTATTTTACAATTTCTTAATTACATGTGCATTTTGGAACAAAACATTCACAAGCCTGGAGACCCAAGATATGTGTGAATGGCTGAGTTCAATATTAGTTATGCTGATAATGCATGGTATAAGGTCAGATGCTTTAATAATAACTTTAGGCAGTCTATACCTTTCTGCTGGCAGTGAACATTTAAGCACAATGGTTAATGTAAACCATATAAAGATAGACAAATAAACCTGGAGTGAACCCCTCTCATAAATATTTTGTCTGGTTACAGTTTTAGCTGGACAAAGTGGTGTTCACTTTTGACAGGTTTAATTGTACTATAAAATCTGCTTCGATTTTGCACTACATACTACTGTAAACTCTAAATTCTAATCAGATATTCGTCTACAAGACAAATATCATGATTATAAAATTACAAATCGTATTTGAAACTTTCTGTATACATCAAGCTATATCATCAAAGCAGATGTCTGACTTTCAATTGTTTGTTGTGATCTACAAACTGTGTTTCTATGACAACAAGCTAAGTTCACTTTTTTATATCTGATTCATTATTTTACTCATGACTTTTCAAATATTGTTCTATGCTCTCTCACTGGATTTAAAGGAACAATATAAGATAACTTACAATAAGCTTTTTTTCAAAGACTATAAAGACTACATAGCAACTTTAATCAAAATAACACCCTCACTTCGAACTTATATGAATGAAAATTACATTTATAATTCATAAACTTTCTGGCCATATGAATGTATGAATAAACTTTTGAGTACTTTATTTCCTAACCGGTACTTTTGAGAACTGGTACTTTTGAGAACCAGTACTTTTGAGACCCTTGATGATATTGTAACTCTCTCTAACCTAGTTCTATATCACATATAATACACAACTCTAATGTTAAACTCAAACAACACAATCTGGGATGGAATTACTATTATACTGTTGCCTTGTACATTATGATGAGTGATAATGAAATAACATTCAAAATCAGAATGGAATCCATACACAGGATGTATAAAAAATATCCCGGAGACCCTGTAAATGTACTTTTAAGCAAAATCTGAGATTTGAGTTTAACATTAAAGCTATGAGTTCAAATCTTGGTTGCATTTGCACATAGCCTAAATCTGGGCCTGAAGACTACAGAATCTGAACACTATACACTTTTCACCCTTTTCTATAAATTATATCTATTGTTCTATTGGTTCCCCTGCTGTAGGTTTTCCATACGTTTTTCGCATATTTTCTTAACCTCCTTTCGTCAATTCTCCATTATACCTAACATTCATTTACAATTTCCGTGATTTTTTCCATTTCAGTTTGTCCTGACGTGACAATCCTATGAATCTCTTACCAAATCGTAATTGTTCTAAATTATGACACCGACTAATCGTTCAATATTTTATTTATATATGTATATTCTTTTATGGTGTTAGGGTTTCTCCTACATGCCATAACCCATCCCTGGCATTGGGCCTCCAGGGTAACCAGGCTGTGGGGCACCATACTGTTGCTGTTGGGGCATGCCAGGTGGCATCTGGCCGGGCATCATACCAGGACCTTGTGTCAACATTAGCTGAGGCTCACCTAGAAAGGAATATATAGCAATGAAGATTAAACATTTATCAATAGAAGGAATCATGGTCAGGTTTCTATCGAGTCATTTCAGGATTCTGACAAGACATCATAGTAGGGCCTTGTACTACATAATAGGTCAGAATGAAAGTGTTTCAAGGAACTGTATAATGCAGAATCGGTGGCATGAAAGAAGACAATGAGCTAGGATATTATGATCCAAATGTTTATGTAGCAGTAGAAGTAAACTTCATGAACAGTTCATGCACAGTGTATGCACTATGAATGTTCCATACTGTTCCTAACAACCTCAAACCTATCATCCAATGACATGATTATCATTCCAAATTGTGACGACTCATTTATGCAAAACATGCATTGCAAAATGAAAAATCAACGAAAAAATACTAAGACTCGAAGTTAGAAGGGAATGGATAAATGTAGATTTGATAGTGCAACACAAAATGACCAGATGATAAGGTTAAATTAAAGAGGGGTTGATGTACTTACCTAGTACAAGAGGAGTGTTCTCTGCTGTCTCTGCCTCTTCTGATCTCACAGCCTCTACTTGCTCTAACTTGTCAACCTGCAACACACAGGAGGATATTCATTAATATAAAATGATAATACAGGCTGCGTATAATATAGAACAGGATGACACAAAATGAACAAGGTATTAACATGGCATGCAACAAGTCAGTATCTGCCATTTGTTACAGACACCAACCAACGCATGGCAACTGCTGAACACTGTCCACAAAAAAATTGGAGACTATTAACTTATTTATTTACAAAGTGACGCAAAATAAAATACTCTCTAACCAGGGTACACTCAGCAATCTGTGAGACGCAATTGAGGGGTACACTTTCTCACATTAAGTTGAGGCAAAACCTGGGAATATCATAGAACAGTTGTATATAATATATACCTAGTGAAAATGAGAGTTAGACCATCCCCAAGGCATCACTCCTGCCTTTTCCAATTTACACAAGTGCTTGGTTTTATTTTGACACCAGGCTCTTGAATAGTTTCCATTCACGCCATTTATTTGGTGATAAAATGCAGCAGGGAAATGAAAGAGCAATAAAACTGTGGTAGACATGGTAGATAGCTAGTAAGGAAGGTCTATAACTTTGTATTGGCCAAGGATGCCACTATTACCCTTGGGAAGAGCTTAACTCCATCTCATCTCTTTATAGAGAGTATTTAGATGCAAAATGTCACCATGTGTCATTTGTGACAGATGCCGAACAACAACTGCCAAACACCCACTGCCACCACAAGAAAGCAGAGACTATTAAAATACGTCACAACATGTGTGGTGGTAACATAAAAACTTTAAGAGATAGTGCTTGATATATCCTATATGCAAACAGAATATGTTGTCAAAAAATCACAGTTGTTTTCTGTTCTTGTAGTTACATTCATGAATTTCACATTTTATTTCTCATAAAGCTATTATTGAGAGTAAAATATTATAAAATCTTTAGAATCACTTCTAAAAGTGAGAGGGTAGTATGGCTTCCAAATGGGGATCAAGGGTATGAACAAGGTTGACCAGATACCAGAGCAGCACTTAGCTTCATAGAAACAACAAAATTCTTGAATCTGCAGGCTTTTTCTTGGAAATGTTATTGATGATTTTTTTTTATTTACTATCATATTGTTGTTTGTAATATAATCTTAACCTTTGACTTTCATTTTGGTCTTTTCATATTTCACTTGACTCTTTTGACTTGCTCCATTGACTTATTTTCTGTCTCATTTCTGACAATATCTATAAAATGATCACAAATGTGTTTTTTCAATTTTTTACAATCATATGGTGAAGACCCACCAACCCTTACCCTGCGCGCAGAGTCTAGTTAAACTACACTCTGCCTAATAGAGACCATATTACAGTTTAGTAGCCCCGCCCCCACGACGGGTACCGGTGACACTTTGGGTAATAAATCAAACATACGCCAACTAAATATGCGCGTGTCATTGGTCAATTCCGGGCTCAACGATGACGTCAGAAGGAATTACCATATATAGAACGTCGGTCAAATTTGGCCGACGAATACTGATTGGCGCGGTGAGTTCACAGGTTTATTTTAGTTTGAAAGAGTGAAGACGAAGCTCTCTTTTAAGAAGTGAAGTCAAACGAATGCAAAGGGTAACCAACCCTGCTTAAATGTTTAAAATATATTGAACAGAGATGCAAAGACATTTTTTGTTGTTCGAACAGAAGTCACAATATTTTTCTTGGGCAGATTTGGTGAAGGCTAATGGTAATGAGACCTTACTAATTCCTATTAAATAAATATCAAATTCAATAAACACTTAAAAAGTCACATAAAAAGTCAAAAGTCAAAGTAGACAAGAAGTATCATATTCAAATCTTGTCAAAATCTGCAATAATCAATTCTCAACATTTTATTTATATTTTCCAACTTTCAATGTCAAAAAGATCGAACAGATTCAAAATTTTCCAGATTTCATAAAAACTCACAAAATGTTTTTAAACCGCCACAGACTTGACTAAAAGTGATAGATACCCGATTTATTTTGCAAGGGATCTACCCTCAACCCTCAAAAGTTAAGAGGCATGGGATCCTGGGTTGGATAAGGTTAAACTCCAAGTGGCAGTTCTCAGTTTTTTCCTAATGTATTGAAAAGAAGCAGCAAGGGGATCTGAGGACAAGTTATCAAGATATAATCTAATAAGCAAAGATATCCCATAAGTTGTATACACAGTATCAGGGTATACCCATATAAAAATAAACAGGATAAGCACACCTTTTCTACACAATCCTCTCTCTAAAAAATTAGCATACCAATATTTCAGTCATTTCTATACAGTTTAGAACATCAAATACTCATCTGTTTATTTCATTCCTTACTGATTGCACCCTTTCTCATGTTTTTTTATTTTCAGTACATAACTAATGTTATATTTTTGAAGGGTGATACTTGATAAAGTGTCATCACTGTTCAGTGAGCTGTCTTCAGTCTGATAGGGCTGGTTAAGTACTCTAACAACTAAATCAGTAAAAAGTTCACAACAAAAAGGCAACTTCCATAGAGACATTTAGCAACATCTCAATTGAAAGTAAATTAGATTCCATTACATGTACATCAAAATTCCTTGATTTTTGATATTGCAATTGAGTACATATTGAAAATAGAGATGTTTTCTATAACATTAAAACACCCAAGTTTATCATTTTGATATCCCTATTAAGTACAAATGGTTTAATCGCATCCCATTTCATTGAAATTTAATGAGTACAATCAGTATTTATTTAGATATCTCAAATTTAAGTTTAAATTAAAATATAAAACATTTAGAACTCATTACATCAAAACACCACAAGTTTATCATTTTGATATCCCTTTTAAGTACAAATGTTTTAATCGCTTCCCATTTCATTGAAATTTAATGAGTATTCATTTTGATATCTCAACTTAAAGTTTAAATCAAAATATAAAATGTTTCCCATTACATCATCAAGTTTATCATTTTGACATCCCTATTAAGTACAAATGTTTTAATTGTTTCCCAAAACATTGAAATTCAATTAGTTTTTCACTTCTGACATCCCTTTTGCGTACAATCAATTGTTTCCCAGAACACTGACATCCTAAAGTTTATCATTTTTGATATCACACTTAAGGAGAATGAAAAGGAACACAAAATCTTAGAAACTATCAACTTAAAATCCGTAAATGTTGTGAACAAAACACTCAAGTATGTGATATCCTTAATATGAACTTTGGGTTTATTTTCTCAAAGGCTTGGGTATCCAGTCCCTGAATCAGTGGGAACTGAATTGTTTGTGAGAATTTCAACAGCTCAAGTGATGTCGTATATGGATATATACAAAAAGATAAGAATAGTGAGTGGCACTAAACTTGCCAACAATATTAATAGTCCTAAATAAGATGACATTATCGCCAAACATTTTGAACTTAGTAATAAGGATGGAGGAACTATTGGTGAGAATTACATCCATTCTGATTAATGCAAGACTGATTAGACTGATTGCTCAAAGGGATAGTACAGGCTATGGATCCCACAATGAATTTCATCACTTTGGTATATGTGGTATATGGTATTTGGTATATTTATCTGTAACACCGGTGCATGCTATGCAGACCCCAATCCTACTGTGAGTTCCCTTATGGTATCAATAGTTCAACGAGGGGCCTCTCTCACATATACGGATGTGTTGGGCCTCAAATTACTCATGGTACAATGGGGGTATGGATGGTACCTGTAGTAATTTGTTCACAAAAACACCAGTTGGTGTATTCAGCTTTAACTTCACTAGAGTAGAAGAGCTAGATCTGACATTTTTCTGTGTATGTTTTGCATCATGTTATAAAGTACAAACACCCGAGAAAATCTGCCAATAATTTTTTCAAGAACTTATCCGATTAATTAATTGCTTGCACCCTAATATCATGAACAAACATGTCCCAAAAAGCCCCACCTTTATGCCTATTATCCACTAGGTATTATGAGAATTTCTATAATACGCAAAAATTGCTTTATAGAACAAGAAGCATTTTCTTGTAATATTCAAAATTTGTTGGCATGACTTGTAACCCAAGAAGACACTTAAGCGATCACAAAATATTTGATGACAATAGTAGTTGAATTATCCATTTAATACTTTTGAACAAATAGATTAAGACTGAACAAGGAGCTGCCCAAGTACTTAACAATCCTAAATGATTTGTTGTTATGAGGACTGAATACAAACATTAGACTTAAAATGGCTGTTTTAGAAGCAATGTAATATAGCATTCATTGGAAATAACCTGAAATGACACCTAAGATATGCTGATTGGTCATGGAATTTCAAACATTTTCCATCTTAAAATTATGTTGTAGTTTTTTGATTTTCTATTTGTTCTTAATGTAGCCAGGAATGACAAACTCCTGCAGTGGACTATTAATTGAGGCATAAGCCAGAAGAGTTTCGCTTTATTGGGTCATGGAATTTCAAACATTTTCTCTTTTTAGATATTATGTGGTAGTTTTTTTTATTTTCTATTTGTTCTTAATACAGCAAAGGATGACAAATGGATGACAATCTCCAACCTTGGAGCTCTAATAGAGGCACTTTATTGGGTAAATGACATATCCAAAGAATTTTATCTCCCTGAAGAAGCTAAATAACTGAAACCAAACAATTGCATTAGATTATAGAAAACATGTACTGTTCAAAGCTGGCAATATCTCCCACTTTAAATATCTGCCACTTAGATAATTCAACCAGACACAATACTTCAGAACAGCAACATCGGAAACCCAGCGTCCAAATCACAGATCAGGCCATACTTCTTTGATACTTGGATTCTTAGGGGCAAGTGAACCACAAAGATAAACTCTCAATTCTTTCACTTCCTTGTTTATCAATGGTTTATTTTACAATGAGATAAGTAGAAGAAGTTCCAAGTGCATTTTATGTTCAAATGCTACTGTTACAATCACCAGGGCCACAAATGGATAAGTCACAGAGGTCACATTTGTAGTGCATTCAAAGTACCAATTGTGGGGAAAGGGTGGAATCAGCATGGAATCAACACTGTAAACAAGTATATTTGAGTATCAATCATGGGGAAAAGAGTGGAATTAACAAGGAATACAGAAAACAGGTGTATTGCTTACACTCTAAATAACACATAAAGAAAAATGCAAGAAAATCAAGCTACTTGATAATTCATTTTGTTTGGAGCAATTCAACTTGATGTAACTATATTTTCGAATTCTAAGCTATGTGTATCAAACACGAATGCACACATAATTAATAACAGGGTCAAAATTTGTCCAAAATCCAGAAAAGCTGCAAAAATTGTAAACATGAAAACTTTTTTTTCATGTTTTGAAGTTATGCCTAGGATGACTACACTTTCAATTTCAATAAGGATCAATTGTAACAATTGACCCAGAATACAGTTTGTAATGTCTTCCTCAGATCATTCGATTTAGTATGTTTACAGAGAGTTATCATTGTGTATAAGACCATTAGCTGAGGTTTTCGATCAATGTATACAAGCTCAGACTTGAGGTTTTCTCATTATTTATATTGGTCTCCCAGATCAACCTGTTGACTTGAAATATTTAGGCTAAATGTCAATGAGGGAACCAGGGTGGTGCCAGGTCGGTGTGCCTTTCTGCAGGGAAATATAGGTTATTTACTTTGAAGGGATGAATATGGGTTTTATACATATGTAGCAGAGAGTAAGTTATAATTGACTAATTGGAACACTTACAGACAGGAAGTTTTCACTGAACAGAACTTTTTTGAAAAAAATTGTTTTGACTGGTAATATATTTATTTCTATCATCCACACACTTGATGTTTTGAAACTATCTAGCCTGTATTGAGTGTAATTTTAGGAGAGCATTGCTTGAGGCATTTACCAAGTACAAAGTGGTATATTTATACAATGTACAGAAGACTTATTGAGAAATGTTCAAATCTGTATAACACATGCATCAGGTAAAAGTTTACATACCTGTGATAATTGCAATTTGATTAAAAACAGTGTTTTCTAAGGATGTTTTCATCAAATTGGTGCAAAATTCTGATTTTCAGAATTAAGACAAAAGCTGTCAAAACATTCACGGTTTTCATGTTTTTTTCCATTTTCAATTGGTTGCAAATGTGCTTTCAAAATTTCAAACGGGTCCATCACATACCTGCTTCAATGACATAGTTCCAGCTAACTATTAATCGGTAACTGATTGGTATATTTCTACGGAGAAATTTCAAGACCACTAAGACGTATTTTCATACCTAGTACATACAGTTATATATAAGGCATTCACATGCAAAATGTTTCCACCTGGCATTTGTTATGGATGTCAACCACCAAACTCCGAATACCACACACCAACCACCAAACACCATCCACAAAAAGTTAGAGACTATAACACTTGTGATATAAAAAGTCATTACACCCCTCTTAAAAGTAACTTGAAACACAGTTCAAGGTGAAACAAATGACAATATACCAACTGAAATATTTCTAGAGCAGTGCTAAGTAAGTGATGGCATCCCTTGTTAGCCCAAGGCTCTTTGAAACAAACAAATCGGAGACTGCACTCAAAAACAACTCCATTTGGTTAGTAACATAGAGGTGCTGATAAATAGCATGATAAATGAATGCAGAACATGTTGCTTTTTGAATTATTAGGGTGGCTTTTGTGACATTATCTCTACGTAATCTATAGGGACAAGGACGATCTCTATAGAGCATGAAACAACAAAATAAAAAAATAAAAATAAAGAATTTTGAATGTGTAGCTTTCAGGTGCTTTTCCATCTTTAACAGTACCTTGAAGATCTCATCGATTGAGAAACAGTGTACCATAAATAATCAAAACATTAGTTAACAATTTCTTGAATTTCTTTAGAGGAAGCGCAAAAACTTGTCTTAGATAACATAAATAGGTAGCAACTTCCAGCGAGATACAAAAAACAACCTGACCTGTTACAGTCACGTCTTTCCCTATCTCCTAAAACCAAACCTATGCTCGATGAATAAACTTACAGAATATGAAAATATTTTATTTTTCACATTTACAATTGCCTTAATTTGGGATGTTTGACATTTTTCAAGGTGGTTACCATGATGTTATTTATCTTGCATGATAAAAAAATACAATTAGAAATCTGATCAAGGTAAGTTTCATTGAAATTTTGTACAGAATGACATCTTTTGAGCAAAAATAATGCAAACGTTATTTCCCTCATTTTAAACGAACCCTGTTTTTCTCTGATGTCCTGATAGTAAGTACAGGAGAACTGACCAATCCCACAATTCACACAATGTCCTAAATGATTTTAGAAAAATGTGGGGAATTGGGGGTCACTCTCCTTGAAGAACCAAGGCATAAGCAGATAAGAGAGAGAAGACAGTTTGGACCATTCTGCTGGATTTAAGTACCCATATTATATATCATGTTTCGACGTATATATCCTGGCTGACCACCTGAGTGCTGATTTGACACATATGTACAATATACAACTTAGGATTTAATATTGAGGCCTACATACCTTTTGAGTGTATTCTCTGAGTACTTGGATCATGAAAGGCATGGCAAAGTCCATGATATTGTGTCTCCAGGCCAGCTCCAATATGACATCTGGGCGGAGTAAATCGTAACATTGGAACACACATGCAGAGAAGCATTCTTTGAGACCCTGATCCAGGAACCAGGCCAGGAGATCCTCTGCAATGTCTGTGTTGCGTGATTCACTTGCGTACTGCATAGCATCCTATAAAGAAAAGAAAAATATAAATAAGATATGTCACTAGAATCTAAATAAGCATTGGCAATGCCAGTAGAATCCAAATATGCATTGGCTGACTGTTGTCAGTATACTTTGAATTCATAGACAGATATATGAGCCTGAAAGATGTAGTTTTACATGGATTATATGGGCATTCTTCAAAAGCAAAATGCCCATTTGGAAAAATAGGCAATCAAATCAGTGTCCATCTTCAGAAAACATTAAAACACATTGGATGATAATAAAAAAAACAAAAACATGAGTATCAACATTTTCCATTTAAATCTTTAGAATGCTTTACAATCAGTTTTTAACTTGATTTGTTGAAAATAAGTAAAACAAAGTTTGATTTTATTTTTTTCTTGTCTGACTAAAGTGACTTGAGATTTGACAAATATACGAGGTATATCGATATTCATTTTACCATTTCAAATGGAAATAATACCTTGTATAATTTATCTTTCTTGCACAGGTCAACTGACTGCTTCCAGCGATTGTTTCCTTTGTAAAGATATGCTGCGATACGTCGGAATTCAATCAGCTCATGCTTTTCTAACCTCTGTGCCAGCGAGATATTATCAAAGTTATCGAAAGCGTCGATGGATGCACGGAGACCCTGGTAGTCCTCTTCGTCAATTAATAAATTGTTCAGAGCTTCATTAATGGCTTTATTGTTGTTGTTCTGCACTGACCTCAGGTAGGGCTTCACGAGGGCGATGTGGCCGGCCTTCAGGAAGAAGGAAACGGCACGGGTATGATCCAAACGTGGCGTGAGTACCAATAACAAATCATTAACTAACAGAGGTTTGAAATCTAGGTAGAAATTGATAGCCTTGTAGTACAACTCTATATTGGCTACTTTGGTTATAATGTCCTTAAAATGGTTTTCTTTCCACGCCTCGGATGGATGTGCGGTCATAGTAAGAATAGCATTGTCGTACTCTTCGTATTTATCATAGAGGAATACAAGTTCTGACCAGAGGTGGGCAGATTCGGCAGCTCGGAGGACCTACAAAAAGACATCAAAAATACAAATGGGGTAAAAATGAATGGAATCAGCAAGGAATAAAGTGAACATATAATGTAATTTCACGGGGGATAAGCAAAACGAGGGCGAAGCCACGGACTGCGACTCGCGTAACTTTACACCGCAGCCCAGTGCCAAAATGGAGGGACATCCGGCAGTGCCTCTGCTTCTTCCGACAAAATAGAGAAATACAGGTATTTTAAATGCTATCGTAGTGTCTAATCGGTGACCAAAATATTACTCTGTATCTACTGTCGGTCTGTAGATAAGAAAATAAGCAGTTGTCCAGATCAAGCTAAAACAGTAGCAAAGTTCTGATTTTACCTGTAAAATATGTGCATATTATTTAATTTACTATACATTTGAAAGGAGTTTTAACACGTTTCTGATATCTAAAGGTTAGTTGAGGCTCCGAGTATAATTCGTGAAAATGATTTGATAATAGAATGTGTTCATGAGGAGAAAATTAGATTCAAACTGCGCATTCATAGTGGACGCAGTCCAGTAAACAAAGCTATTTCAACAACGCAACACAGCCTCCATTGATATTCTAAGCAACGCAGTCCAGCCGCGAACACGAAATAAATAAGATAGTGTAAACTATATTCCTACGCTATTATTGTTTCAGGAAAAGAAAGTCAGCATTCAGATTATCATTCAAAGTTACGTTGATTAACATATATCTATTACCTGAATAAATGTCCCAAATTGCTATATTGTATCGTTTAAGACCTAGAAATATGGCAATTCAATAGCGTATTTGGCAGAACAGTCGAGCGCAAGATGACAACGTAATATGTTTATTACAAACCAATCAGGAAAATATCAAATAATTGGAGAGTTGGTGAGTTAATGTAATTTTGGATGATCTTTCCAACAGTCCATCAATATTGCTAGCTACCATAAATTCATGATTTCAGCTGTATTCGACAGCTTGTATATATTTGCAGAATGGATTGAGACACGATGTAGGTCTATTAAAATAGCCCTTTATATTCAATTTTGTCCAAAGTTGCTCCATTTCGGCCACACCTGTACACACATTGTGCTATCTACCTTTGGCTGTGATTGCGTTCAGCTTCAGATATAAAGCAACACTGAGTCGCGGACTGCGTTGGGCAGATGGATGGACTGCGACTATTATAAATTCCAATTTTCTATGTAATTGTACGTTTTCCGCTTACCAAATATCACACGAAGATGTAATTGTAACAACAGAACATGAATAATTATATTAATTCGATGTCATTTCTGGTTCCTTTGTTTAAATCGGTATATTAGGGACAAATATTGACAAAATTACATTTTTTGTGGCAGATTTCGAATTCATTTGTGTTCATCCTAAACTATTGGACAGCCGAGCACCAAGAATGCCATTGCAGGTGGAGTATGAATACGTTGATCACCGAATGGAACATACTAGTGGTGTCAATTAACCGCTTGAGCATTAACCGGTTAACCGGGGGTTTTTACCGGTTAAAGTCGGTTAACCGGCGGGAAATTTGAACTTATAATTTCAAATGAAATCTTCATCTTCGATCTTGAAAGTTGAAAAAATTGGAAAAATGATATATCGGCGTTTATTTTTTACGTTCGTCAAGCTTTACGCTATTCTGTAAGTAAGCGCGGGAAAGCAATGTGGCAGGGATTAAAGTTGCTGATTGGATTTTTGTAAGGAATTATCGGACCTATCACATGTATGAGTAGCTCACATGAAACTGACGCTTGAAAAACAGATTAAAATGCAAAGTAAGCGCGGGAAAGCAATGTGGCAGGGATTAAAGTTGCTGATTGGATGTTTGTAAGGAGTTATGGGACTTATGACATGTATGAGTAGCTTACGTGAAACTGACACCATAAAACCAAACAGATTAGCATGCAAAATAAGCGCGGGAAATAACATAATTATACACGGTCAACTAACCGCCCATAAAAACTCAGACCGGTCAAGGCATTATCGGCAGTTAACCGGTTAACCGGTTAATACTTGACACCTCTAGAACATACTAGCTATTCTGTATAATATCCAAACCAATAATCTACCCCAAATCCTAGCATGCCTTCCAAATTTAGTTTGGACTTACCGCCATTGTTCAGCTATAATGCGTTGTAACCTCATTTTGAATTACGCGAGTCGCAGTCCGTGGCTTCGCCCTCGTTTTGCTTATCCCCCGTGAATTTGTACAGAGAACTCAGAAAGTGGATTTTTTTTCATTTAAGTATTACAGAAAACAGTTACATTTAAATTCTAAAATCAATAAAATCAATAAAATCAATTTTTAAATGTCCAATGTCAATGATGGCAACAAGAAAACTTTTAACATTTTGGGAATCTGACGAAAATTATCAAAGTGATATACCAGGAAAAACATGTACATGTAATTGAATTTAAAAAAATGTTCACTTACTTTTGGAATGTTTACCCTAGACCAGAATAGTTCTAGATGCTCTCTCATTTTCTGAGGTTTGTATTTGGAATATAGAATAGCTAGTTCAGTGAACATTCCCATATGAGCACGTTCTAAACCTGCAATCAAAAACAACAACATTGCATTACAACATAACCTCCAAGCAACATTGCATTACAACATCACATGCAAGTGACATTGCTTTAGAACATTACTTGTAAGTAACATTACTTTACAACACAAGGTATATTGCTTGAATGTGATAGAAATATCCAACAAAAATTTGGTCAATGTACTGCCCGAAAATTGATTTTTGATTTTTGTGTGTTAAACATTGAATTTGCAAATATTTTGAAAAAATTGAGGATAAGGATGGTGAAAAATGGAGATAAAAAGAGCATGAATGACAGTAAATTTTATAAAGATGGTTCTGGAATGAATTAGCCAAATTTGCGTACCTAATGCTGCTTCTAGAAGTGAAATAAGTTCTTCAAAGTATCCTCTATCCTGGTAATAGTTGATAAGCTCCTCCAGTTCATCAGCATGTACTACAATATGAAGACCACACATCTGGGCCAAGCGGAACTCTTCAAAGTCAACACAAGAGAAGCAAACCTACAAAATGAAATATAAAGGTGTCGGAACAGTTTGAACAATTGTTCTCATGAAATGGAACTAATATGTTTGAGATCTTTTTTATTAATAATTTGATACCGTTCTCATACTTAGAGACTGGGCCTATTCGTAAAAAATATATTGGCCTCAGACAACTACCGTAAATACATGTAAAAGTTGATTCCAGATATATGTAGAAGTAGACAACTACTTTGGAAATGGATGTTTAAAAAAGTCTGAAAATCAATATATAAGTATTCAAGAAATCCATAATTAGCATACCTCTTTCCAGGTCCTGGTGCTATTAGCTTTCCTTGCACTGTCGACGGCTCCTTGGTACTCTCCCAGCTTGACTAGGGTGATGGCGAGGCGGGCAAAGTTTGAGACGTTGTTATACAACAGCTTTGCTGGCTCGTACATTTGTGCATCAAAACAGCGGTCTGCAATCTACAAAACAGGAATGATGAACAATTCTGGATAAGAATGGCACTATTAAGCATTACGTCTGCTAATTTAGTTGCATTATGGGATATGTAAGGCATGGTCACCTTCTGAAGGTATACACAAGGGTGTAATAATCATCAATTTTGTCTTTATTGCCCAATGAAGGCAAAGAAGGCTTTTTCCAATAATCACAAGAGAATGAAAGGAGTTATTAAATTGTCAAATAGTAACTGCTCAATAAAGTAGAAATGTTAATTGTAATTACCGTATTCTCTGTAATTAGCGCCCAGGGCGTTTAGAAAATTGAAAATACATTATTTAGACCATTCTAATAAGCGCCCATGTATGAAAGAAATCAGAAATCCCGAGGAATTTCATGTATGGCAATTTTTCTTGACAAGAATGCATTTTCTTCAACATATTTTTATAATAATATGACAAGTGCTGTTATTGGAGAGAATACGGTAAAGATCGCTTAGACAATATTGACAGTGGTTGAAGACCCGTCTATGTCTAATTTATTTCCGACACGCCCACTTTGTCATTATCGCCGATTACCTTCAATATTTCCACCAGAGACTGCTGGATATCGATCTAAAGTTATACATTATTTCTAATTTGATGAGAGATCATCATTATTCGTGCAAAAGTCGTGTAAAAGTCGAGAAACATTAAAAAGAAACCAGAAAGTTCACGACCTTGACATGCGCAGAACATCTGCGCAGTAGCTTTTGAAATTTCTGAATGCCGATAAAGAACAATTCCTTCATTCATTATGGACTATTTGGAGACAATATTAGCATGGTATGGTGTGGGAATCACCCATAGATAGATATGTATCGAGAGGATGCATAGAATTACAAAACGCGTCGTGTTTACAGCAGTTTTAGGGTAAGTACTCTATTATCGCCCGCTCCTGGATTTTGTGAAATATTTTTTTCCTGATATATTCTTCAATTCTTGTTGATTCCTCGATGTTTCTTGAACTTTGTGAAGCGGGGTGGGCGCTTATTAGAGAGTGGGCGCTAATTACAGAGAATACGGTAGTCAAAAACAAGAACTGGAGATGAGTTACAACCAATATTCTTATTGTGTAACATTTACATTCTAAATTGAATGTTTTCGTAATTGTGGCTGTAAAAACCTTGTACACTGACAGAAAATACAGCCATTTTTGGATCTCTGTGTATTAAACTGTAACCAAGTGTAGTATTTAAACAAACTCAGAACATCTATAGCCAAAAATAACAAATGAAAAGTTGAAAATGTTGAATCATAAATGGAGTAGTGGCGTAGCCAGGGTCTAAAAATAGGCAAGGCCTGAGTAAACAAAATCCAAATATTTGAATTATTTTCCAAATTTGAAAAACAGTGAGAGAAAAATTGTCTGCCTAATGCCTGGTGACGCCCCTGTGGATTGGCATCCATTTGAAGAGGTAGACCAGGTGCAATATGGACCAGTTCAATGTCACCTGACCTACCTCCCTTTACTGATAACCAATGAGCACCTTCATGCATTTAATGTAAAAATGATAATTAATTCAAACAGTTATAGAACAGCATTCAGTCACAACAGAGCAGCAGAAAATCTACAATTGCAAATAAAATTCAAGCATTAGTTTTTTGGTATAAATCACAATTCAAAATGTTTACAAGTTGTCATGTGATAGGTTTTCTCCCAATTTTCTTCTTTTCAATTTGCAAACAAATCTGGATTTAGAAGTCACATACAAATCTGGATTCTTTAAATCTCAAAGACCATTTTGAATTTTGTGAAAATGAAAAAGTTATTCACTATCCACAACCATTGTGAACATTTGAAACTATGAAAGACAGCCAATGTGCCTTTAAGGACATCCTTTGAGCGAAGGTAGCTTGTTTATTAAAGGTGACATTAAGTATAATGTGTCAACTTCGAGGCAAATCAACAAAGGCCAAAGCATCGTAACATGGGACTCACACATAAACAAGGATGCCTCAATTCGACTAGGTAACATTCTAGTTATTAGCAAGAATACCAAAGTCACCCAAAATAATACAAAATGTAACAATGCTTTAAATAAGCAAAATACATAAAAATGACTAAAAATGTCACCTATCAATTTTTTTTATCCTTTTCATAGTTATCGAAGGGTATGGAGATTTTCTTTCTTGCGATCAAACAGTAAAACTTGAAGGATTACAAATGAAAGACCCAGAATGCCTGAGCTCACATGATGAGTTCCATGTAGCACTTTATTGGATACTTGTATATTTACAATGTTTTTGACATCGGAATTACCACATGTCAGCCAACAATTGAAAAATATAAATCATAAGTTTCCTTTTGAAATAACAAACCCCTGATAAATTGCGTAACGTAACACAACCACCAGAACATAGCTTTGTCGAGTATGTTTGAAAACAGAACATGGTTTTGTCAAGTACATTTGAAAACAGAAAAGTGTTTTGTTGAGTAAATTTGAAAACAGAACATGTTTTTGTCGAGCACATTTGAAAACAGAACATGGTTTTGTAAAATTAAACATATATCTGAACACATGGGTGCAGCATGCTGGCCATACCTTCACTATATCTTCTACAGCAACAAACTGAAAACCAAATGTTGGAAATCACTTAAGTAAAACCAAAGGCTCCAAGTTGGACGGAATCAGGACAATAAATTCATAATTTTCACTTTTGAATTGCCCAAACACACATAAGGTGCAAAAGAATATGGGTACAATAAAACCTGTCTAAGTGATACACCTTTGGTACCTCTAAAACTGTTCCACTTATAGAGGTTCATTTAACTGTAAGTCAGTTAGTCTTACTAACAGAGGTGTTCCACTTCTAGGTGTTTCACTGTATTTAAAAATTGTGGATTTCTATCAAAATAAGCCGGGTCAAAAAAGTTGAAAATCATGTTAAAGAAAGTATGCCACTTGGAGCCTTTGTAATACATCATGGTGGCCTCATGTCTCCCTGCTGTCAATAAGAAACTGAGAAATAGTAAAGCATAAAAGAAAATGTAACAGAAATTCAAGCATGGCAGATCAAATCATGATAAATGCTCATTACATGAAACGAAGGAGATGCAAAGTTAACAGTGCATTGTTGCACGGTAATTGATTATAAACACAACATCTGATTGGACGAGGGATTCAGAGCCATGTTTAAACACAAAATAAGTATAGAAGATTTCCCAGATATTTAGGAGGCAGGAAATACTGAGGCTACCTTGATGTGGATTTGGAATCGAAATTCTCCTTAAAAATGGGGATATTTGAAAATACCGGTACACACAATGCAATATCAGGACAAAAATTCCAAATAAATTATAAAAGACTAATAATCATTCAATTAAAACATCAAATATTCTGATGGTCTAAAGTTAAAATACCAAGCATAGAATGGAACTATTTTCTGATGCTACCGCTTACCTGTGTGATATTGGCGTGATTCGGTCCAGAAATGAATTCCTCAAGATCAGCAAGTCGGTTAGTTTTAGCATAAGCAAAGACCAGCTCTGTTTCAATAAAGGTTTCTCTGGCCTTCTTGCGTGCCATTTGCAGATATTTCACCATGTCTTCCCAGTTGTCTGCAGAATCAAATAAAACATATTCATTTTGTGAATACCCTTATCAATTTTAGGTGTTCTCTTTTTCTTGCTGTGGTCGTAATAATTTTGCATACATATTCATTTTTATGCTGCATAGGGACTTGGCAGATACTTCCCGATTTATTTTTGTCGATCAAGTTGTTATATAAAACATGTAATTGTGTTTTTGGAAGTGCTATAGCCATCAGTTTCGGTGAGTGATGAGTTCGGTCCTCTTCGCATTAAATGCTACGGATATCACAATTTCATCATATGGCGATCAATACACACAGATTAAATGAAATGGATTGGACAGGCAAGAAGTGATATCATATGGCAATCGATACATACAGATTAGATGAAATAGATTGGACAGGCAAGAAGTCATATTTGTACATTCACAATTTTTCCCTGCCTGTGGCACAATGGACAATCATTTAGGCATGTTTTCTTGCCTGTGGCACAGTGGACAATCATTTAAGCATGGGTAAGTTGACTCACCATTCTTAGCGGCAACATCGCAGACTTCCATGTATTGTGAGGGGTCATCGGCCTTTATGTAGGAGTCTATAGCCTCCTTCACCATGTTAGCATTCAGCTGGGCTCTTGCTAACTGACTCCACACTGCTGGCTCGTTGCAGCGCTCGGCAAACTCGTAAGCTCTGTCCAAGTTGTTCACATGCTCAATGAGGACCTGAAGAGGAAGGATGCAAATATAAATTTTTGAAAAGAAACTGTTTTTCAATTTTTTCAATTTCATTTTGTTTATTTCACAAAACACATACAATGTTCTCAGAGTATTGTTAAGCTTACTGGTGAATATTTATGAAAATGTTTCATTGTTGATCAGTAGAGGCCCATATGATGTCACAATTTGGTAACCATATGAACACTTTTCAGTGTCCTTAAGGAGAATGCTTTCAAAAATATTAGGACTACTCCCCTCTATGCTTTGAGAATCACATACCTATATAAAGCATGCCTTAAAAAATGTTTGAGAAAAACTGTCACTGTCAGTATGAAACTTACCTGAATGGCAGAGGCATTGACTTCAAACTTTTTGAAAATGGCGAAAGCTTCTTCATAGAGTTCACTTCCAATTGCAATATTGGCGATATCTGGAGCATCATAGTTGTCGAGACGGTTGATGTACTCCATGACTCTGGTGCGGTCAGCTTTAATTGCGGTAAGAATCAACAGATTCTGTAGATTTCTGGAAACATACAAATCATATTGAAAAACTAGTAAATGGATACTACACATAGCACTCAAACTTTATGGTGTAGAGCCATTCAACATCAAAAATGCTGTTTTTTAAGAATATATTTGCAGGTTCAACAAAGTTGCGACATAAATTATATCTCAAATGACTGCACAAATTGCAAAGCAAATCCCTTGTTATTTGAGCATCAATTGTTGTTCTCCCATTGATACACAATCAATACAGATTCAACATATCAGCGTCTATTTTTGGGGATGGAGCATCAAAGAAATGTGACATCATGCAAAAATTAAAATTGAATCTTGCAAAAGACTTAAAACTAAGCGGCTATAATCAAACATTGTTCTTCGCTTTTCTTAGGTCTCTGTGCAAAAGTTGAGAAAACGGTAACACATAATTACCTGTGGTCACTAAATACTGAACTTTCCAATACAATCTTCTCCAAGAGTTCAATGAGTTCATTATAATTACCTGTGGTCACTAAATACTGAACTTTCCAATACAATCTTCTCCAAGAGTTCAATGAGTTCATTATAATTACCCGTGGTCACTAAATACTGAACTCTCCAATACAATCTTCTCCAAGAGTTCAATGAGTTCATTATAATTACCTGTGGTCACTAAATACTGAACTTTCCAATACAATCTTCTCCAAGAGTTCAATGAGTTCATTATAATTACCTGTGGTCACTAAATACTGAACTTTCCAATACAATCTTCTCCAAGAGTTCAATGAGTTCATTATAATTACCTGTGGTCACTAAATACTGAACTTTCCAATACAATCTTCTCCAAGAGTTCAATGAGTTCATTATAATTACCTGTGGTCACTAAATACTGAACTTTCCAATACAATCTTCTCCAAGAGTTCAATGAGTTCATTATAATTACCTGTGGTCACTAAATACTGAACTTTCCAATACAATCTTCTCCAAAAGTTCAATGAGTTCATTATAATTACCTATGGTCACTAAATACTGAACTTTCCAATACAATCTTCTCCAAGAGTTCAATGAGTTCATTAGGCAGGTCAGCTGTCATGAAGGCTTTTACTGTCACAGATATGTCTTCTGGATCTTGGGTCTCTGACAGGGCAGTTTGCACAACCTAGAAATAACAAGATATAGACATAACATATAATACTCTAGAATACAAGAGACTTAAAAGATCGAAAGATAAGTAAGATATCACTGTAGCAATCTGAAGATGGCCTTTAAGTTAATCACACCATAAAATAGCATACTTTACAAAAACTTATTTCAACACATTATGTACATGAGGCAATTTACAAACAGTACTCTTGACTGAAATCTTAGTTCATTTGGATATAATATTTGAAGGGAATATGACTTTCATCATTATATTATGATCTTACTTGATCTATCAATGGTCTCCTGAATTCATTATCCTCCTGTAAAACTATAGCCCAGAGGTCAGGGTCACGTCTTTTCACTAAGTAGCGGGATTCACTCTTGAACAGGGAGTTCTCATTGCACACCTACAACAAAGAAATAACATATGCATGACTTCACATTTGTTGGTTACGTAAACACTGGGAAGTTTGAGGGAATACTGTATGTTCAATTTAAAATCTTCTTTGCACAGCATGTACTTAAATAAAAAATATAACATCCATACTTTTGACCTTAAATGACAGTTTTATAATTACATATTTCCAACTAGTTTTAACATATATTTTCAGATTAAATGTGACGGATATGATATTGATTTCATTTTTTAAATTGAAATATTTTTGATATTGAAGCAAATGTACTTTAAGCATGTATTCAAATAGCCATCAGTTTCGGTGAGTGATGAGTTCGGTCCTCTTTGCATTAAATGCTCTGGATATCACAAGTTCATCATAAGGCAACACAAGTGCTGATTATAAAAGGAACAACACAAACCATTGACAACTTCTAGAACCTTATCCGTTTTTGAAAATTGGACACTTGACTAAACGGTGACTAAACACATTACATCTTATCAGAAATATAAACTCTCAAAAGGGTGCAGAAATCAAGAATTTTGAAGAAATTACATATTTCCCCAAAGAAAACAATTTATTCAATAAGTCAATAATCCCCTACCTTAATCAGCTCATGGTCACACTGGCCACGCTCATAGGCGACACATGCTAGATGAGGGTCACGTTTTTCACAGTATTTACCCACAATCTTACTATCATAGAACTGGTTTTCCCTGAAAATACAAAACACGTTGGTTCACAAGGAATCAATTCATGCATTTTTAAAGTTCAGAAAGTAGTTTGGAAAGCAAAATTGTATTAAGAACCAAATACTTGGTTGTACACTTAAAGCTTATTGAGGGTTGCATAAATTGAATCAGACTTCCAAATATTGAATTGTGAATAGGGTGTGAATTTTACATAATTTACAAGTCAGTAAAGCAGTTAGAATCATGGTGATCATAGCCCAATGCTTTATCTGTCATCATACTTGTCTGGGAAAATTAACTTCTTCCTATTCATTCAACTTGAAAATATGTAAGAGCAAAGATTTTCAAAAAAAATAAACTTACCGGAGGAATCTTTCTGGGTTGTTATTGCTGTCGATGTATATCTTGGCCAATGCATTATGGGTAGCGGGCTCCTGTTGACCTTCATGGATACGGGTCTCCAACCATGGTAACAACAATTTTAACCTACAACAAATCAAACAAGTTAATTAAGTAATCTAGCAATAATATTTACACTAAGGTGTACTAGTTGTAGGCTATTCACACTACAAACAAATGATTAGACCTCCCCCTTCTTTTTGTAATACATATGGACACTATGTCACATTTGTGCTAAATCATATTTCTTTAAACCATTGGGTTGAAAGTAAAAACAGTTCAAACCTGTTTCTCTTCTCAACTTCTTCCACAAGCTCATCAGTTGAGAACTGTCCACGGACCACTAGGATAAGTTGCTTGATGATATCCTCTGCGCAATCAACATCCAAAAGTCCACCAATCACAACAGGGAGACGAGACGGGTTCACCTATAACATGAAATAGGTCGCTTTACATTCCATGTGGAATATTGCATGATGTTGGCACATGTGTTAAATGGGATGGAGAACCCTAAACAATCACTTGTGAGCTAGAAATATCTATCTAATGCAGTTTGAAGAATGCAGATTGAAATGTTGATCAGTCTAAAAAATACAAGGATTTTTTCTCTGTTTACTTGAGTTCAGTTGTTAATTTACAAGTCAGTAAAGCAGTTAGAATCAGGGTGATCATAGCCCAATGCTTTATCTGTCATCATACTTGCACAAGATGTAAAACCTGACTGCTTATTCAACCCCCATGTGCATCTTTTGTCTAACATATAGGCCCAGAAAAATATTTATTTCAACATGCTATCTGAGACAGTATAGAGAAACAAAGTACTATTCTTTACCTTTTGCACATATATTTCTATGTACTTCTGCAGGTTGTTTCTGTATAGGTACAGCACCAAATCATGCACAAAGTCAAACCTATCGCACACGATGATCAATGGCAGTTGATCGGTTAGTTTGGCCTCCTTCAGGAAGTTCTTGACACGCTCAGGATCGTAACAGTTACTCTCACGGCAGATTCTTTCTGTTTCTTTAATCTGTCCAGTCTTGCAAGCTGCCTGGATGTATTTGAAGTGGACATCGGGATCCTGGCTAAAGTTTACAATCGATCCAAGGAAGTAGAAAAGCCCTATAAAAGATGAACAACAAAGAAATCAATTGAAGAAAAAAATAGTTTAATTTGATTTGGTACACTGACAAAATCTCACACAAAGGATAAGTAAGTTTTCAAGCTAAATAAATATACCCAAATATATAAATATTTTGAAGAAATGAATCTTAGCGTAACAAGTCAGTAAAGCAGTTAGAATCATGGAGATCATAGCCCAATGCTTTATCTGTCATCACACTTGTCTGAATAAAACTAAAAGTTATTAATTCATGAAAGTGCATTTTAATCACCGCTACAGATATTTGAAGTTTTGCAAGAAAACTCAGGTCTTCCTCTAAAATTTCTTTATCCCCCAACTTGGATTACTTTCATCAAACAGCATTCAATTGCTGATATTGTGTCATTGTACACCAAGCAACATAAACAAAAGAATTGAATTTCTACAATTGCGGAGAAGAATAGAGCCAGAGTAACACAATTATCTAAAGCCTCACCTTCGAAACTCTTGAAAGACTCAAATATCTCAATGAGAGCATTTGTTCCTAGTTGTTCGTGGTATTTAGTGGCTATCTGCACACAGACTTGTAGATTCTGTCTAATATTGGCCTGGAGCATAACCTTGACACACTCAAGGGAGTCTTCTACTGACAGGGAGCCAAAGTAGTTCACCAACCACTACAACATAATTAACATATATCTTTACTTATCTGTACATTTTGTTAGTATCAGGATATAAACTGACAGCCGTCATCCCAACTTTCAACATGAAGGACGAGATTCAATGATTGCAATATTTCTTCTGATGGACTTTTTGTTAAAAATTTTGGCCATCTCAAGATTATATGTTTAATAATGTCAACTAAAAATATTCTACATCTTTTGAACTTACCTCAGGGTTGAGCAAATGAGTATGAACAACGGCGCGTTTGATATCATAGAGGTCAGTATAGTGTTCAAGTGCCCTCTGGAGGAGGCCTGCTTTCTCACAAAGCTGGGCAACGTGGGCTCTGTCATAGTGAGTGAACATCTGGTTTCCTAATATAGCATCTGCAACCTAAAACCAAACGAAACCAGAGATTAATTTCTTGTGATGCAGCTTAATTTTGTTAAATATACAAGAAATTATATACTAGCCTGTTCTCAACTGGATTGTTAACTCATATGGTGGGTTATTCTAATTTTCTAAATTCTAGGCCATGTTTAAGAGGGTGGTTTCCTAAAGCCGATGGACGAGTGCGCATCATTCTCGCGCATCTAACTTTCGGTTTCGGTTTCGATGCCGTGATTTTGTTATTTTACTGTATATTACTCAAATAAATAAAACTTATGTTCAAAATGAATCAAAATGGCTTTATAATATTTATTTGTGGTGAGAGAATTAGTTGCACGGAAAAATAAGACACTCTATTGTCGTAATTTTGAAACGTCTCGGAAACTCCTCACCAATTATCGCCCATCTAGAAACAAGATGCTGCATTGATGACGGGACGATTTCAGTCTCAATCGGGCAAACAGTGGAGAATCGTAGCATTAAACATCATAACAACTGTTTATGAAGGTAAGAAGTATCGAATTCAATATCATTTTCTTTTTGTAATCGATTGAAATCACCATATTTAAAGGTAGAAATCGCTTCCTGGTTCTCGATCGGGAATCGTTGTCATTTGCGTAATATTGATTTGATTGGAAAATTCTCATAAATTCCCTTGAAATTTAGTATTTAATGTAATAATTTGGTATTTTAATAATAGATGGTAGTGTTATATATTAATACAATGGATTATTCTGTGATCGTATGCATATAATCACTGAAATTCTTCTCAAAATTACATATGAATTTATTTTGGGTGATCGATTCGTCATGACCTTGATCTTACAAAGCCCATGTTCAAACTCAACAGCTTTTCTTGTCCCAGAGACATCCCATGCGGGCAGAGTCGGGACATCTTAAACGAAATGTTAACTATATTTGACTGCCTATCACAGTAAAAGTACATTTTGATGTGGGCATGGGCAAAAAGATAATTTTGTCATGGAAAATTACATGTACATGTTTCGTGTACATGTATTAAAAGTGTCTTGTGCGGGAGTACACGGCAATCACATGCAGTTATCATAATCAATAAATATTTGGGCACAGATAGTCCAACAATATTAGACCTAGCCTGGGGCCTGATTTCTTATCTGGCATGTCTTATGGCCCCGGCGTTGAACTAGGGTATGGATAAACATGCTACGTGTACTGTACATGTGCCGTACTGCAGTATAGTCGAAACTGTACATTTATATGTTTACTGTATCGGTATTAGATATTATAGAACATCATATGACGTCTCAAGTTTCATTTTATTCTTGATATACTTTCAAACTTTTCCATGTATTTCAGATGACAAGTTACCCAAAACAACAAACAACGGTTTTATGGACCAACAACAGTCGCATCAAAATGATTGGGAGGTTGAGGAAGTTATTATGATTAATGATAAATGATCATGCAATGCAGTTAGATCATTTAGATGACTGTCACGTCATTGTCGACATAGGCCATACATACTTGTCCAGTCAAATGACCTGGAAGTTTTTGAGTACAGGTAATTGTATAAATTACATGTAATATATGTTTCAAGTCATTTAGATAGATGTTACACGGTATATCACCTTTGCCTGTGAAGGCAATGACTAGAGAATACAATAAATGAATAGACATTAAGGCAATCATTATATGATAATCATGACACTTTTTGACAGGTGTAACTCAATTCCCATCCGATTGAGCCAAGATCACAATATGCCTCAAAATATCATGTTTCTGGCTAAACAGAAAGATGCAATGAGTATCAAAATGGCATGGATACTTTGATGTATGGTATCAAGTGATCTTTCCAGCAAGTACTAAATAACTTTAAGTCTAGTTCAAGGAGGATTGGCTCCCAGAGTGCAACATCGATATTCTGTCCCATATATGGGCATGTCGTGCTACAAAATTTGAATTCCAACAGCCGCCATTTTGTTCACTTCAACATTTGAAACGTGAATTTTGGTCTTATTTCCTAACGAAAAATTACAAAACTCACAAGAAATGATCGAGATATTGGTTCGAATATTTTGAACTGTTTATTTTGAATTTATAATCGGTTATAACTTCAGAAAATAACGACATTTCGGCGTTTTCATTGTTGGAAAATATCGACTTCGATTCTGGGAGCCAATCCTCCTTGAGTCTAGTTGTTTTTGTAATAAATAGATTATATACAAGGTGGGCCAAAAAATCCATTGTAACTTTTAGTCATGTATTATCTTCAATACTTTAGGAAATTGAAAAACAATTCATTGTCAATATTGTGTAAATATAATTATTGAATATACAAGCTCAAGCTTTAATTACTCACCTCAAGGATTTCCTGAACACATCCTCTCTATCCACCTGAACAATCAGTCTGAGACATATTATGCCAGTTTTGAAAAAAAGCTGAGGTCAGTAAGCTATTATCCAAGGGAGAGATGTTTAACTTCTAGAGATAACAACATATGTTTTAATTGATGAAAAGTGTGGTGAGACCATTTGCAGGGCACACATTGTATGTTAAAAAGATATTTCAGAAGTGATGGCTCAAGCTGAGAAAATTTGAAATTAGTCATGACACATGTACTAGAATACAGATCATGATCAATTGACAAGCCAAAAATAAATACATAGACATTTTTATATTTAACATGTTCACCAGTAATCATTTTACAGTTATCTGAATTTTTGTTGATTGAGCTGCAATAATAAAGAAAATTGAAGAAATGGAAAAATTTTCTAATTGCTATTGGCCCACCCTGTAGATATGTAAATTTACAACATATTAATTTATGTTCTGCAGGCCTTGTCTCCAAAGATGTCTTGGGTGCCCAGAAAGTTGGCTTCAGTGGATGTATGTTACACCTGACTAACAGTCATTTGACATTATACAAAATTAGCTAGAGGTACAGAATATAAGAGGTAAGAGAACAAGTAATATACAGTAAAATCTGTCCAATCTGAACATCATTGAGAATGGTCAGAAAGCATTCGGATGGGGAGATGTATTGATTTCAGTTTCTCTATCCGCAAGATTGTGGATTTTAATGCATTCTCAATGAATATTAATATTTCTATTGACCATTTGGCTTCATGGCATCCAAAATCTGAGGCCATTTCATATTTTTCAGAATTTCATATCAAATCAGTCTTAAATTTAAAATATTTGAACAGTTTTGTAAAAATTGTGAAAAGTCTTCAATTTACACATGTTAAATTTTCAAATATGAGTGTCCACTGTTCGAATTAGGATGTTGTCAGATTTCAAGGTTTTTAACATGGGAGTCAAGTCAATGGGAGGAAAAATGGAGTCAGAAATTGTGTTAGCATTTGAAAGTGTTTGGATCAGCCAGGTGTTCAGATATACAGGTTTTGCTGTATGGGATTAACTCATCATTTTTATTATCAAAATAAGATTATAAGTAAAATATTTGCATCTAATTGAGTGATGATAATTTTCTTACCTTATTCAAAAAGAAAACTACACACAGGCCTTCATAATTTGGTCCTAATTACAATTTTAACATCATGATTGGAATTCCAATACTATGTAACTATAAATTTGGATAATGTTATGCTTGAATGAAGTAACTGCATTCATATTTCTTTTATATCATAGTGATACATGCAATTTGTTACTTTTGTGTGATATTCACTTTCAGGTATGGTCTTGGGGTCTTCTTGTATGACTCAGCCCTCTTAGAGTGTATGTAAGCACATGCTACAGAAGACAGGATATGACCAGCGAGGCAATAATGAGTTTGACAAACGAGTCCATGGCAGAAGTGGAACTTACTGAGCACATTGACTTTATTTAATTTTGTCTGTCTATCTTTGGATTTATGGTATTTATGGCATTCATAATATAGACAATGGACACAGAACAAAAAGAACAACATCTGTTTTAATGACAATATCTCTCAACAGCTCAAGAGAATATGTTCCCTGAAAACACCATTCCTAAACACATGTAGCTATGTACAGCGTATCCATAAATCCATATTTACAAATACTTAATTATGAACTACAGAACACTTTATTCTTTTCCGGGATTTTGAAAAAGTGGTATGTAGTTATTCTGATAATAATAAATCTATATTTTATGCATATTTTGTCATGTACATGATTTTATTATACATGTCATGCCTGCCTCTAGCCTGCTTTTGCTAAAAAAATCAAAAAATTCCAGGGGGTTCCTATTTGACCATTTTGGCCCAAAAATGACAAAAATCACTTGAAAAATGCTCAGAATGGTGAACATTTTTGGCCAGGGGATTCACTCAAACCCATGAACCACTGGCTATGGGCCTGCATGTACACAATGTAAATAGACATAACTATTGGTTGTCATAGCAACAGATTATTGGGACAATGCCTAGGCTCCACATCAATAACAATATTCATTTGTTTTTAATAATAGTATTACAATGATGAAACTTTCCAAAAGAATAATATTGATACTAAATTATCATGGAGCTATAGCCAATTCGGGCAATTTAGACAATAAGGGACTGGACGTATTGGTTGGAAAGGGTATATTGACTATACGCATTAATTATGCTGTATTTTTACTTTAAAATAAACTTTATATTTTTCTGTGTCATTTTTGAAGAAATGAATGAAAATTTTAACATAATAAAGTATTAGTAGGAAAGAACTTTAAATTGCTGTTCAGTATGGTGATTTTCTCATTGAAATACAAAATATACTCGTCTATTTAAAAATACACAAAATAATTCAGTTATGACGTCACAATCAATGTGCAAATGAGCTAATTTGCATAAATGTAATTTTGAAAAATTGAGCTCTATTTTATCTTTAATATGATATAAATTTTATCAAAATCGATGAAATATTGGGGGAGTTATGTGTAAAAAACACTTTCTTGTCATTATTTTTGTGGTTACTATGGAAACGAGCATGTGGGCACTTAAGGTCCACATTTCATAATTTTTAACAAGTGAATCTCAAAGTTAGCACTATGAGCTTTCCAACGGTACCAAATTTATCCATAGCCCTATGTCATAAGTGTACATTAATAAGTGCTTTCCTAGCACTTTTGGGCCATCATTTAGACTACCTACAATAGAAAGGGCAATTAACGGACATGTTAAGAGTGATTTTAGTGTTTTGGGGGTATGGTTTTGATTTGGCTGTAGAAAAAAAATTAGCTCGGTGACCCCATATTTTTTTCGGGTCATTATTTTAACAATTGAATGAAGTTTAAATTAATGAAATATAAAAAAAAGTTATTGTTGGGAAATTACTATTATTTAATGTTATTATAGGGGAGAAAATACATTATTTTTCCCATTGAAATACAATGTAAAGGTCAATTTAGGGGATATCTAAGAGTGATTTTTAGTGTTTTGGGTATGATTTTGTTTTGGCTGTAAAAAAAATTCGAGCACGGTGACCCTAATTTTTTTTGGTCTCATTTTTCTCAGAATTGAACAAAGTTTCACATATAAAAAAATAAAAAAAATTTATTGTTGGCATCATTTACGCAACCACCCTCTTAAGTCAAAATAAACCAACTTTTATGATCTTTCTCCCTTTCAAGTGAGTGGAGGCTTATTCTAAAAGTTCGTTAGATGTAGTTATCCTTGATTTAATACTAAGATGACTGGGTACTCAACTCACTGGCTTTGATCTATTTTCAGAATACATTTCTCAAATTTGAGTACAAATACCAGAACATTCTTAGATATGGCAGATTCCATAGAAATCATCACATCAAAGTAAGAGTTTGGAAACACTAAAAATTATTTTTTACCTGTGGGGCAGACATTAGATTCATTTCTAGCAGTCTGGTCTGTAGGGGACCTTCTGCTGGCCTGTTGTTCTTCAAGGCATCTAACAGGAATGATGTACATTGCTGCACCATGTTGGACTCCATGAATACATCCACTATCTACAAAATAAAACAAAATTGAAATGAAGAACTAACACTAAAACTGAATTACTATAAGATATAAAATCTAATTCTGCTTTGATTAAAATTAATTTTGTCAACTCTGGAAAAGGTGTATTCAGAGTTTAAACCTTGATGTAACATACTAATGCTCACAATTTTCATATTTATCTTTGTTAGGTTTATAAAATATTTCAAAGTTAAGTACAAAAGGTGTGAGTTTGTGCTCTGTCGTCAAATCAAATGTTTACATCACTTTGTAAAATGTCACTTTTAAATGCAGGCTTCAACAGTTGAAAATCTTAAACATCGCGACTTTTAATGAATAAGCTATTTCTCAATAGCCCTCCCTTATCTTCTCCCCACTTACTTGGTTGATATCAGCCAGAGGCTCATCATCTTGTACCAACATCTGGGCAAACTGTGTCCCCTGCTCAGGATTAAGACGCATGATATTCCGGAGCAAGAAAATATAGTCCGGTGTATAGCCAACTTTCTTGGCGTAGAGTACAATTTTCTGGAATTGTCCAGTTTCAGCGAAGCACATGATAACTTTGTTAGGGACATTTGCACGGAGGTAGACAGACAAGGCTAGGGTTGGGTCTGCTGTTTTCACAATGTCACCCAATTCTTCACTGCATTCAAGCTGGAACAGAAAACAGAGATTTTACTTATGTTTTTCGAATGTTCATTGATGAAAATCATATTCTATTACATTTCACACATAAAACAAACAAGAAACAAATGAGAAAACAGTATCTAAGTTCAATGGTTCATCTCTCGCAGGCCTTCCTTAGGCATTGTTGAAATCAACTTGAATCGAAAATACTGCAATACGTATCAGAAAATTAATATTGTCTGTAGCAATTCTTTATAAACATTTGGCTTCTAAATTTTTACAGAGAGTGGCACTGAGAGGATATAAAAGTTGGTTTGGATCGTTTTTGGAGCAATTTTGATAATTTAAAGTTATGTTTTACTTCATATCTCCATTTCAACTGCCAGACTGACACACCTTCAAGAATATGTATAATAAATATATATAAAGATTTGGCTAGCAATGCCAGTATGACACGGCCATTGAAATAAATTCATAAATAAAAAAAAAACTTCAAGAAAAGCATAACTTGTCTGTTCTGTTTCATTGTTTTTACAAGGTAAATCAAATATCACTCATCACAAACCTTATCTTCTTTCAGCCATTTCTCTAATAATTGTTTTCTGCCTTGCTGCAGTACAGGTCTACAAAGCTCTAGGGACTCGTATTTGTTAAGCTGGCCCTGATCTAACAGAATACCAAAGTATTGAAGTAGTGGAGAAGTCTGGCCTGGCTGGGTAGGGACTTGCTGGAATCTCTGGATGGTCTGAGGAGTTCGGAGAATACCCTGAAAAGTAAAGACAATCAACTATTAAGGTAGGTCTTACAGGTCTTGTTAAGGTCTTACCCTAAAAAGGTCTTACGTTGTGTTATGTTACATGAACACAATTTTGACAAGTTTGAAAGTTGTCCAACTATGCCCACCTTAAGGAATATTAAAAAAACTGGAAAATATTTTCCTTAGAAATATTAAGATAGGTCTAGTGGAATTAATAAGAGAACAGACAACTTATATGAACCTTTTACATTTTCTGCTTATCTCCCATGGATTGAATCCCTTGTTAAAGAAACCTTGATATGTGAACACCTAGTATTCAGACCACTTATGGTACCAGTGGTGTTCAGATTAGCCAGGTTTTAGCGTATACTGATGTCAAAAACAAGTCCAAAACTGTCTCCTTTAACCGTTAAGGGACCAAATACGACTTTCTACGACTTTTTACCACTTTTGAATCTCCCGCCTCTAACTTGTGTTCCCGGGACCACGTCCCCCTATACTTTCAAGTTTTGTTTTTCGTTCATTGTAGTTTGCGGATGCGTAGTAAAAATTTTCAGAAAAATAAAGATAAGATCGAAATTTTGACTTTGTTTATCGTTTTGAGGTGTATTTTAATTGAAACATAAACAAATATGAATGTATAGACATGTACATGTTTAGACATGTATGTAGACATATCCCAAGAAGGGGATTACATGATCGCCGGGTTACAATCCCGAGCGATAGCGAAGAGGACAGTGATGGTGCAGGATTTTCAGATTCATTATCATCGGACAGTGACACTGTAAGTGAACTTAACAGCGATGATTATTATGGAATTCTACGCTGATTTTTGGAAATAAGTCATTCCCTTAAGGATTAAGGTAGGTCTTGAGATGTAAGAAAGCTAATGCAAAAGTCTGAACGTTGGGTGATGTAAGCGTCTATTTGTCAAACTTATATCACAAAAATCTCTGAAATTGAGTTATCAAGTCCACCTACCTTTGGTGCCCCAGCAGCAGCCTTGGCTGCATCACTGTAATTTCCATTCTGGAAGAGCGTGTTGAATTTACGTACAAATAAATCTTCAGCTCCTGGGAGATTGTTCCGTGAAGCAATACGTAATGCAAGGTCTGGATTCTGTAGTGTATTTGTAATATATTGTACTATGTTGTCCTCTTCTACGCACACGGAGAGGACCTGCAAGAGAAATTTGTTATAGACAACTAATGTAGTTTTCAAATGCAAAATCATGAGGGAATTAAGCAAGAAATAGTACATTTGTATGGAGTATTTTATTCAAATATTGTTCAGTTTTATTCAATGAAATGTCTGAATCAAATGCGAAACGTACACACACAGTATCGATGCGTACATTTGTCTGTTGACCAGCCAGCGTTGGTTTATCTAGGAGTAGTACGAAGCAATTTTTGCACTGAATAGCAGATATTGGCAAACTAACTCCAGAATTTTTTTAAAAAAATTCATTTTGAGATTTGGACCCCCAAGCAAACAAAATTTGCAACTTTTATGACTTCATGACTTGTACACTATTTCCAAAAAAGATCTTGCAAACAAAAATGAAAAATTGGCCAGAATTTGACCGCCACAATTTCACGCACCTGTCCCTTTCTATTGACACCAATGATTCCAGAACTAGGTTCATGTGCGGCTGTGACGAAGATTGTGTCTCCACTGATTCTGTTCATGTATATACAGACACCACTCTCTAAGTCATACATGTGGATGTAGCCATACTTGGTGATCAGGAATATAACATGGTGTTTGTGGCTTATCTGAAAAAAATACACATCAAAAGATATAAAAAAATTTAACCAAATGTTTTAATAATTGGACCACTGAATTATTTTACTTGGTTAAAATTTAGAAATTTTGATGTTCTTGACCATATTTAAAATTGAAATATATATACTCATGAATAAATAAATTACTCCAGGGTTAGTAGGTTGAAATTATATCTCGTAAGAGGATGAGGAGCATACCTGCATGGCTACAGGGAAGTCATTCTGTGCTTCAGGGGGGAAGAAGACATCTACAGCTTTCTTTGTGAATGGCTGATTACCAGTGGCTGGAGTACCAACTTCAATGATGTGGAGCTGAAATCACAATGTTGGAACGTCAAGATTGATTTTAAATTCTTATTTCTATTCCACGATGATCAACAGTCAGGCGGATACAGTAAACCATATAAATATTTCATTTTGTCTGTTCTTTTACAGAATTTAGAACTTCAATACATGTACATGTTATTTTCACTTCAATATTTTATGATGTACAAGGTTAAAATTACACATACCTTTCCACCTTGAGTACCTCTTACTGCGAAACTGAAGAGAGTTGACTCTGTGGCATTGCCCTCTAATTTGAACTGAGCGAAGGCTGCAGCATGACCTTCTATTGGCTGAGAGACTTTACGCTCCACTGAGTATAGTTGCATTGCACCTACCACACGGTTTTGCTGTAAATACAATCGGTCAATAAAGTGTTACTGTGAGATCGCACATTATTTGTGCAATAAGGTGGCTATTGCATTATATTAGTTGAAAGAAAGATATATGAATTCAAAATAATTTCTGATGTGAACTTAAAAATACATTTTTCATTCTAATGTCTGAATCAAATGCGAAACGTTCACATACAGTATCTATGTGTACATTTGTCTGTTGATCAGCCAGCGTTGGTTTATCTAAGAGTCGTACGAAACAATTTTTGCATTGAATAGCATAAACTGACAAACTAACTCCATGACAAGTTCTCTTTGTAATAAACCAACAAAAATATGTTTTACAAAAATGCAACGTTTGGATTTCAATAAAGATATAATACAGGACACAAATAAAAAAAATTGATCAATTTATTTTAATGCTGACTTGTAACATATATAGTACAGATATATGGAACATGTTTTGAACCTCTAAAAAGTGTTCCACTTAGGAGGTTTCCACTTTTATAGACTAGACATTCATTTAACATTAAGTCAGATGGTCTAACTAACAGAGGTGTTCCACTTTGCAAGTTTCACTGTAGTTTAAATGCAGCAATTAAAGGCTTGCCAATCGCCTTTATGGCATTCCAGGCATGATATTATCACTGGTGATCTGCTCGATTACGCTGGTTACCGAAACGGTTCGTTTCGGTAACAAGATGTCGGAACGTCGAAGGTAAGATTTTTCTTTTTTCTTTATTTCATGCGTTGTAGGCAAAATCCCACACATTATTTGTGCAATAAGGTGGCTATTGCATTATATTAGTTGAAAGAAAGATATAAGAATTCAAAATAATTTCTGATGTGAACTTAAAAATACAATTTTCATTCTAATGTCTGAATCAAATGCGAAACGTACACACACAGTATCTATGTGTACATTTGTCTGTTGATCAGCCAGCGTTGGTTTATCTAGGAGTCGTACGAAACAATTTTTGCATTGAATAGCATAAACTGACAAACTAACTCCATGACAAGTTCTCTTTGTAAAAAAAACAACAAGAAAATGTTTAACAAAACTGCAAGGAACTTTGAATTTCAATTAAGATATAATATAGATACAAATAAAAATTGATCAATTGATTTTACTTCTGACTTGTGATTATATATAGTAGTAAGAATGCAGAATTTTAATTTTTTATACAAAATTTATTTTATTATAAAAAATTATTATAAATAAAGATTTACCAATCGCCTTTGTAGCATTTCAAGCTTGACATTATAGGCTAAGCTGAACAAAATAATATTTAAGTACAAATGTAAACATATGTAACATCAGGCAGTAAATCAAAAAGAGAAAATCTCTCACCTGTGCAGAGATGCCAATGAGTAACAGCCAGTTCATGTTGGCATCAGTTCTGTAGTTTATAATCTGGCATCCAGCTAAACTGGCATGGCGATCAAACATCTTCACAGGTTGTGAGTCACCTGAATAAAACAATTAATCTTTTATTATTCATATGATACAGAATAGAATGGAAGTGGAGAATATTGTTGACAGAAACAGGAGTTTGTTAATGAAATGGTCTTAATTCATTTGGCTGGTTAAACGAAAAAATATTTTTGGAAGAATTTTGACGAGGAGAACAATGCATATGACCCAACTTGTTTTTTTTTCAATTTAACAAATCTGATTACATCAAGTTCAAAAGAGATACTTCAACAAAATTGATCTATTGATAGATGCTACTCAACTGATAAATAACAACTCTTCAGTCATATTCAGGGTCAAAATACAAGTCTACAAAATGTACAAATGTACATGTATTGTACATCTACAGAATTTAGAACCACTGTAAATGTATATGTGTTAACCAAAATATCAGCACACATTTTAACAAATATTGATTTTTTCCCATTTAGTAATTTCCCTAAATTGAAGCATATGACATGAACAATATTTTACAGCTCAAACTAAAATTATAGACTGCGATTGGTCAAATCATATCACATGACCAGTTGATAATTCAATCCAACATTCTGAAAGTCCCTTTACACCCAGTTGAAAGATGAGAGGGATGAGAAAATAGAATTTTTTTGATAAAATAAGTGCCATAAATTGTGAATCATAAGTTTTGGGTGTTGCATTTCAAAACAAACATAACATTTCTTTGAGGCATATATATTTAATACTTATGTTTTCCAAAAATCAGATGTAACACATAAATATTGCATTCTGACATTTAATGATAAGGGGCGAGCCAGCCAATCTTGCAGCTCCATGTGAATTTACATTAATGCCCAACCTTCCTCCTAAAGCAACAGGGGGTCATTAACAGAACTTTCGCAAAGTTACGAATTTGCAAGTTAAGTCAATTGTTAATTTTATGAATTTGGTAAATGTGCATTAACAGAACTTTCGTAAAGTTACGAACGATTCGCAAAGTTGCGAAAAAATGACGTCACATATGCTTTCGTTCGTAACTTTAATACCACCTCAGACCCTTTCATAACTTTGTGAATGGCATATTTCTCATCTAGTTCTTATGTAAGGTATAGAGGTTGGCAAAAAGAAATTGTTCTTTGTATGCATGCTAAGTTTCAAGCTAAAATATCCACCTATTCTTACATGATAAGCAAATATGTATGTTCCTGAGCTGGGAATCTTTGAAATCATGGAGACAGGTTTTTTATCACAGCGCGCAATGATATCAAATGACATCACAATTTGAAAGTCGTTTACAAACGATAAAACTTATGAATGACTTACGAAAGTGTTCTGTTAATGGCAGATTCGTAACTTTATGAATTCGTAACTTTGCGAAAGTTCTGTTAATGACCCCCTGGATAGTACAGAATACTTTTACGCTCATTTCAAATCCTTAAATATTTTTTCTCACCATTGGTATTCTACGATACAAGAACTACTATCAGACAGAATATAATTTTTTCACCTGCCAATGCCTAAAATATATTTATCTTACAAGCCCTGCTTCAGAATACAAGCACTATCTGACACTGGGTATATTTTTATTTGAACCAAGCCCAAAATAACTTTGCTTTATCCTTCAATGTTCAAGTCTAGAATTTTCGTGTAAATCATTATTCTAGAAGACTAAAGTGAGCGGAACTAAGCTGCCACACCCTGATGAATGTTGTTTTTTGTGCAAGATAAACGGAGATATTCCTAACCCAGATAGCAATAATTCGACATTTAATCCACAGCTAAATGCTCTTTAAACAACACCATGGTAGTTTGTTGAGGCTATATCAGATGTTCTAATAATCATATCATCATGAACCCTCTTCTCTGCATGACACAAACCATTAGCTGCATAAACGCTCAATATTGGTTATTTTGTTCTAAAGAACCTATTTGTAACTCTACCAATTAAAGCAGAATTCTACTTCTTGTAAACCACCCTGAGTTCCTCTTTCCTCTAACCCATTCATTCACTCCATATTCAGGGTACATCATAAGCATCTTCATCTCTAATTAAATTTAGTTATAAATCACTTGGGATATATGGAAATGATCAACTCTTCCATCAAAAAATACAGGGATCAATCTCCCAAGAACAATTACTTATTTCGCACCCTGTCTGGATCATAATACAAATATTTTTATATATTATTCACAGAGGATTGAACATGCATATCATAGGTATAGGTGGCAATATAAAAAAAACTTTCCCATTACCAAAAGCATAAAAATAAATAAAAAATTAAGAAATATCCCCAAATTCTTGAACCAAACAAAATAATAAAAATCGAAGATATTTTTCATGAATGAAACCCATCACCGGATACCAAATGAGACAAACCTGAGCCTTCTGATTGGTTGAAATATGAAATGTAATTACATGCGATTAATAAATGATGAATATGATTAGTAACCATGATCAATGGAGTCAATTATGCATAATTTCATAGTGATTTCAAAAACCTGAATCAGGTCAAAAGTCAAGAGTTCAGGTTCCACTAGGGGTGGACTGGGTTTTAAAACTGGATTTATTTTAAAACAGCACTTGGCTCATGATTAAATTCTGTGTTTCAAATTACCAAATTAATCAAATTACTAAACTCAATTTAAGAAATATGTTGTTCAAGTTACATACCTTCCATGCCCCAATGGTAGACAGCGGTCTCTGTTGACATGGCAACTGTGTTGACATTGATCCAGCGCCAGTATATGACATCATCAGTCATTGTGTGAGCCTTCATTTTGCTCTTCATCTCAATGTTGAAGATCTGTAGTGTTTTTCCAGCTAGAAACAGAGAAATACACAGTATTAATTAAAGTATCATTTTGGCAATAGATAAATCATGGTTCAGTTGAGCCAAGGCTTTTAATATTTATGACAATTTGGGCAACTTTAAATACAACACAGAATTTTCTCCAGGATTTTTTCTCAAGTGGGTGCAAAATTCTTTGATTTCACAATTTAGACAAAATTTGGTCAAAATATGCCTATTTTTATGATTTTCAGGTGGGTGGAAGTTTATTTTTAAAATCTCAATTGGGTGCAGCACCCACTTTCTTTAATGCTGAGGAGGTCACTGCAACACAAATGTAGCATCCCAAAAGTCCCGAGAGATTTGTTTTTTCTACAATTCATCATTTTCTCGCGTGGAAACCAAGTGTCTATATATACATTTTGACTTATATTTTAACATACAATAAAATCATTGAAGAATGTCAATAGATTAATACAGAATTCTAATGTTCTCTAACTAACTAAACAGGGAAAACATTATTTTAAGGTGGTTTCTCCACCACTTGAGAGAACATTAACTGGGAATCAATCAATATAATATCTAAAACAGGCTACCACACTATCAGGGTGTGCACTTAATAAATCAATACCCAAATTCCATTCTTAGCTATTAACCAGACAACTCATTTTCCAATGGTCAGAATTACTAAATGGAAGATGGATTTAGCAATATTTAGTACGAGTCTTGAATACAGTTTGTATTCCTCAACCAAAATTAATTAGATAATTAATTAGGTAGGGGAAGGGCTTTACAGGAGAATATACACTGTACTAACAAGACATGCACTAAAGTAAAATGTCATTGATGTATGTTAAACCCAAGAATTAATTTGAATTGCCTAGTTGAACTATAATACACCCCCAAATGGCTGCATGTATTAATAATTCATAAACACAGGTGTACATTTCCTAACTACTTTATTTCAATCAAATAGTCTGATTCAAACGAAGTGATGAATAATTTCAACATGTTCATGATTAAAGCAATCTTTAAATCAAATATTAAAGAACTAAGACCAGGTATTTGGAGTATGTTCATTACGCCAATGTGAAATTGTGAACTTTCTTTATGGATGTCTGATGCTAACAGATCTTTATCTATTTCATTTTTTCTGGCTTATGCCTGACTCTAAATCTCTTGTGTCAAGTTTAACTTCCTTGGTTAATTAGTTGGTCTATAACAGTATAAGAAAGGTTACTGAAAGAACTATAGCAATTTAGCAGAGTATCTAATATCAATACTCTTTAAGTATTGATTAATGATTACAACTCTACTATATTTACTACTATGCAATATTGTATGTTTTTATGACATATGGCCTTGTAATAGCCTCAGTTTGGGAAAATCAATGCAGGGAATGGGGTGATTTTCTAGGAGTAATTTCAACGCTCACATACATCCAGTAAAACCTATATATGTAGACATGTCAACAGTGAACACTTTTTTGGCTCAAGTATTTAGATAACTCATTGGCTGCTATTATAAGATGCAATAATTAGACAAATCAATGCAGGGAATGGGGTGATTTTCTATAAATAGTTTCTACGCTCACATTCATACAGAGAAACCTGTGTGTTAACACCTATATAAAAATGAATATGTCAAAATGTGAAATTTGGACAACCTCTTAGATGCTGTAATGATAATGTTAGTCTAAATATAAAGATTTCTCATTTGATACAATAAGTTTATCCAAAAAGGGATCACCTAAATTGTATTGTATTTACATGTACCTCTAATTAATAGAGAGTTACCTAAAGAGTTTTACTGTGCATTAGTAAAAATCCCATTTTGTATATTATTCTGTATTACATATTTAGATGGTACAGTATAAATACTCTTAAAGGTGGGATGCCGATAACTCAGAAGAAATTATAAACTCTGATGGACATATTCCTTATCACTATATCATCTTCCTGATGAGACACATCAGAACTTGGGATTCATAGCCATTCAACCAAGCCACAAAAAAGTATATAAATTAGTTGTTCAACATGTTCAATTGTGTTAATATTATCCACATTCAACCTTTAATAGCATCATTTTACAAATCCAGACAGCCATGAATTAATTTAATTTAATGTGGCAAGCATTTAATGAATATTTTGCCATAAAATGGAAATGAACATTAACAGGTTATATACTATGGAAACAAGCAATATAAACAAGGTCAAAATGATCTCTTAGTTAAGGATGCTCTGTTTCTATTAGTGCAACCTTGTAAGTGGAAAACAAGATTTGAAGGACACAATACGTTCAATAATGATAATGTTTGCTTCAGATGATCCTGCCCCAGCTTCCCTTGTTCCATATGCTTGACTTAACACTACAGGTGCAACATTATTTGAACATGTGTGCAAAACAGCAGATAGATCTTGTATACAGATAGATATAGTATATGGGTGAAAATGATGACCACTCATACTGCCCCACCTCCTATTCTCCCATATATTTAAAACTTAATATTTAACTTGAGAACATGAGTCAGTGGTCTCCCCAGTATTTTTTCTCAGGTGGGTGCAAACTTCTCATTTTCATAATTTTGACCAAAATTGGTCAAAATATGCTAATTTTTCATGATTTTTCTCATTTTCAAGTGGGTGCAAATAGATTTTCAGGTGGGTGCTAGCCTATTTTCAAAATCTCAGGTGGGTGCTGCGCCCACTTGCTTTAATGCTGGGGAGATCACTGTGAGTGTAAAACAGCAGATAAGGGTGAGCAGGGTGACTACCCATCCATCCTGCCCCATCTTTTCTTGTTCCATGTTTTACCATCCTCCAATCACAGGGCTTCAAAATCGAGAATATATTCTTTCTTTTTACCCCCTGCGATAAGCAGTTGGCCTTTCCCAGATAATGATTAAGAACTCGCAATCTGATTGGCTGTCGCAACACTGCGACAGAAATCATGTATAAGTCATTGCGTATAATAAGATCACGTGATTCAGTTTAATCGGGCGCTTCCAAATTGGTTATAGCAGGGGGAAGAAGGAGGTACAGATTCTGGATACCTGCTTAGGAGGATGATGTTTCACTTAATACTACAGATGCAACATAATGTGAACATGTGTATAAAACAGTAGACAGAGTTTGTATGTGAACAAGGTTACCGCCCATCATTTTACTGAGTAATCTGCCAATCTCATACTAAAGAAATGCAAGACTTTATCTGTAAACAAATTAGGTTGTCCACTCTATGAAGACTGAATGGACAGAAAATGCTCGGTGCGGATATCATGGGAGTTCTCCATTATTGGTTCAACAATGCGTGTGTATGATATTCCAACTGGGCATTTTCGACATACTCGGTCTACATAGAGTGTAGTTTATAAATAAAGTTGTCTTGATTCCAGGCATACCTGGTTTCCCTTTCAGTTAGAGTAACGGTTAGGGAGGGGGACACAGGGTCTCAACATGAGGCTCTTTCATATTAATGCAAAAGATCATGACTGATGCTTACCTTTTAGAGCAATAACTTTGCTGGTAGGGTTCATGATGGCTGAATCTGCAGAGATTGGGCGTCTGATTGGGTTAGCTGTGTCGTTGAGGTCAATGATGACAACCTGAGCAGTGTCACCAACTTTCTCACGCACACAGATGTATTTATCTGACTCCATGGTGAGGTTACTGAACCCAATGTTTGCAGCATTGATTCCGACATTTTGTAACTGGAACAAATAAATTATGACATGTATTTTCAGTAAAGCATTGGTAATCGTTTTCACCAGAAATGAAATCTGAAGTAAAATGACAAAGGAAAGTGAATGATTTGTACCTTATATTATGCAACTTGTAAACTACAGAAGTGCTTCGCTAAACCAATATGAGACAGGACTCACTGACAGCCAGTGATAAATTTCAAATACAAATATATCCCATACTCTCTAACATTGATGGAAAACTTATTGATTATGCACTAGTAATCAAATAGTGAAGTTCCTTTTCAGCCACTTGGGAATTGTAGCTGTATTAGAAAGACACTTATAACTTGATAACAATTAATGAACCAGTTAAAGAATTATCACTGAATTTTGAGTCTCTGGAATAAGAAACAAATAAAATTATGTGATGATGTGATTGTTTTGTTATTTGTGGGTGTTTAAGATTGCTGTTTAATTTGTATTTCAGTCTGAAAAAATTATTCAGATTTATCAATCCAACTCTACCGACCTGCAGTTTATAAGACAATTAAGCCACATGTCTCTAAGTAAAATTCTATGGACAAAAATATTGTGTTAAGGTATTGTTATGCTTCAATAATTTGAAGAGTAAGACTCATTTTAATGATGAACTGATGAACCAGTTCTTGTGCATTTAAAATCAGCAAGTCAAGTCTATCAGAAATTGATCAATTATTGTGGGTGAGTCAATAGCTGTTATTGATCTCAAGACAAACAAAATCAATGAAATGCCCAATCCTGATATCACAATGGCATGATAGGTTACAATCAAATTATTAATCTGGTTATAATCAATTGTTGGCTTAGAAGAAACAGCTTGATCTTTTGTTCATCTTTCGTTCATGAAAATACTTGCTAAAACAAAGTTAAATCCTGGTCAAGATAACTTTTGAATGGTATATAACAATATATCTAATTTTTTTTTAGTTTGTGTGCTGTTGTAAAATTTAAACCAGATTTCAAACAGGTGTTTTTGCAAAATTGTATACTCGGCTACATGTACAGTACTTCTTTTCTGAATTGAAGTATCAAGTTCCATGACATAAGGAAACTGGAGAATGTTACAATATCTCCATGTGCCATTTTTTGCTATTAGTGTCTCCTTAATCAAATCAGTAGAGTCTGAACAATGTAATTTGTATGGGGTTTTAAAATAGGCTGAGGAAAAGTGTTTCAGTTAACTCTGTAAGTTCCACTGAGACTCATATTCTTGCTCTGGTAATACCAACACTTTTGTTTGAAGGCAGTAGGTGGTTAATTTGACTTCTCTTGATGCAAATTTGCCATCTATGAGAATAGTGGGTGTTTCTAGACAATATATGTACAATGAATGAACCATGTACAACAATGGTCAATGATTGTACTTTGACCTGTACATTGTGCCCATGTATCTAAATCACTCTAGTAATTCAGTGAGTGGAGTTGGTGTTATGCAAATAAAATCGTCTGATAAAAGATTATGATTAAATCACAATCAGATACATGTACTTCTCAGATGCAAATATAAATTTGCGCAATGGTCAGGTCTCAGAGGTATTTTATACAAATTCAATAATAATATAAATGCCCCCCCCCCCCATTCCTTCCAGTAATATAAGAACAGGAAAAAATGCACTAAACAGTTCATTCATTTTTAATTTGTGATTCTTTCTCCCTTAAAATTCTAAATCAAAATAGACCCCCTCCCCCTACCTTCTTCACTTGCCTACATATCAAAAACATACACGCTGGAAATTAGTACTGAATCAAGTACAAGTAATCAGATCTAACATAACAAGTTTACTACCTGGAAGCTATATTTGAGAGCAATATAAGTTGTTATTCAGAAACATATGAGTCATTTGCCATGAATGAACTATGATGTCATCAAATCACCTGACTTGTTCATTTTTTAATAAAATATAATTATGGTTAATTTTAAATTATTGAAAATATCTAACAATTCATGTTTTTCTCTAAAAAGATGTGCCACTGATGTAAAACATTTAGAATCTAATAGTAAGCCTGACTTGAGTAATTGAGTTGTATTGTTATTCTTTAGGTTATTTGATACATTTGTGCTTTGTAGCAAGTGGTACAGAATACAGACAGTTGGTGCAAGTTTATCAATGGCAACCTGACACTTTGTTTGTCATCTCTAATTTATGCCATATATGATGTTATTTTTTTTTCAAAATTTAATGAGTGCAACAGAAAAAGCGTCTCAAATGCAAACAATTTGCCGAAGTGACCACTCAGCTCCCGTTGATTACCATGAATGATAAAGATCACATATACATTGTTTCGATCAATAGCAAGCGCATTTGGACTTGTGAAAGGCACAAATCAACCACCTTGCTGACAAATCCAGTGAGACCACCTTGCAAGATGATATTTGCGGGTCATGGAAACCTTCAATACATCATCTCACTTCCTTGTAAAGAATGACAGGTGCTTTTTACGCAACAACTATTGCAGTGTATTCAGAACTATACAAATAGTCGTCATGCTGCTATGATATTGTGAGGATCATTCTTGAAATGAATTGAACGCATATAATGTATATGCCATAATATGAAAGTGGGTGGATAAATGATTGGTCCAAGAAAGAAATCCAAAAATGCAGCAAAATTTCCTGTCAGATTTTCAGTGATAAATTCTGCGAAAATGAAGCAGGATTTAGAGGAAGAAATTGTAGCAATTGGTGAAACATATCAACGTTACATTTTTCCACATATCTTGACATCTCTTGTCATATACTTTTCAAGACCCGAGACAGTTTGTCGTGTCATTTTTATGACCATTTCTCAATTTTTATTTTTAGGGGCGTGTTTTGATTTTTACCGGCATTGATGCTCTATCTTACCTGGATGTGCTCTTGGAACCGGATCGGGAGTATTTGCGTCGTCATTTTGGTTTCTTTAGGCTTTTCAGCCTCCTTCTAAATGCCTTGTTATTAGATCGGAGGGAGTTTTATGTCAAAACTGCTACTCAGAACGTAAACTATCCTTTTACAACTCAACCAAGATGGCGGCCACCGGGAAAGAGGTTGAGAAAATAGTTCCTAAAATTGCTCCGCGATATGACGATTTCTCCGCTTTTAAATTTTATATCTAAATAGTAAATACGATAGAATTCCAAAAGATTAGTAGGTATAGATCAAAGAAGAATCAATAAGAGTTGTCATATGATCCTAATTTGAGAATCCTCTATGTCTTATGAAGAGAATTATATCCTAACATGTCCTTTATTTTTGCCACATGAACAAAATGCGGGGATAACTTTTGTAATACAAGGATTTTGTTCATTTCCGGGTCAACTACTTTCGCTTTCGATTGAATGTCAACATAACCTTCTAGTATCAAACTATCAATGAGCAAAATTATTCCGAAATTCTTGTACATCAAATATCTATATCACGAGCAGTGTAAAGTTTTTCTAGTTTCTCCTGTAATTCTGTCATTTTTTTAATACCAAAGGATGCCTTCAAGTAATGAGAGTCCTTTTACTGTGGCTTGCTCTCTCTACCAACATGTACTTGTCTGCTGTTTTACAATGCTTACCGTCTGATCTTAGTGTGTGCCAGAGGTTTTGACCAGAGAAGTCACTTCAAGCTTGGGCTGAGTTTTTCGTTCTGTTTTGTGTTTGCATTAACCTTTGCATCCGTTCCACTTCGCTTCTCAAAAGAGAGCTTCGTCTTCACTCTTTTAGTTTTCAATAACTCTATGTACTGTCATTTTCTCTGACGTAATTGCATAATTATTGTGCATGCATTTAGCACTTGTTCCTTCCAGCTCGCTGATTGGTTGAGAATAGGTCAGTGCGGAATTGGTGTAAAATGATTTATGACCAGAGCTTTCATCGGCTGCTAAACTGTTATAGTCAATACTAGGCAGAGGCTCAGGCAGAGGGTAGTTTATAACTAGACTCTGCGCACAGGGTATGTTTGCATGGTCTTTGAGGAGAAAGCCCATGATGTTTGGACCATTTTTTACAAATACATTGTCAATTTAATAATAATTAGAACCATTCACAGGCTTCAGATACTAAGCTCTCATCCATAGGATAACATTTCAGCCAGATTTAAATTGGCGTTTTTGTATGGGAAAGTAGTTCAAAAAATTTAGATGAATAAAATGGTTTAGTAGAATGAATGGTTCCCATGCACCCAAGCTAAACATATTTAATTACAATTTTTTATACCAACAGGATGTCTACTTTAAGAATTTTGATGTTGACATTGCCATCCCTTGTCCCATGGTCCCCTTTATTGAGGGGTCATCCCCCTAGAATGTACCCCTAATGGGAGCATTTTTTTATTTCTTCAATTTTGATTTTTATACATGACAAACAAAGAAAAAAAAACAGAAACATCATTTTGAGAAAAAATCATGCAAATGGCTCTAATGAAACCTAACTAGTAGCAGAAAGTGGGTACCCCAGGGGGCAAAATTGTGGGCCTTTCTTATATACAATTTTGGATATAACTTTTAAAAGGTGATGAAATGTGATAACAAAATATATGTTAAAAGCTCAGGAGTGGACCTAGTAATTCTGGATGAATTGAAGTCTATTGGTGCTTTTTTCAAAAATTTATATTTCAGAGACTTGAGCTAATCCATCATGTCCATATGGTTCCTATATTTCTCCTCTCTATGGTGGAACATTTGAACTTGAAGTATAGAACTAAGATTAAGATGAAAAACATATTCAAACTTGGTTTTAAAATGGGTTTCTATGACATATTTAACATGTGAGCTAAAAAAGGAAAAATCATTAAATACAAGGTCTCAAATGGATGAATTTCAGGTATACCCATAGAGGATGCACACCGTTTTTAAGTGATGGACATAATAACCCCAGTCAAGGATTCAGAACTTAATTATTGTTACATAAAAATATATTTTGGTTGTCTTTTGATTTGAATCATATTTTAACATTTTAATCACGATTTAAATGGATTTTCTTGTACAGGATTGGCAATCACCAAATAAAGCGGTTGAAGTGAGAACACGTCATAAACTTTTAAAATAAATTCAGTCTATAAAACTAGATCACCTTGACCTACTTTAATTTAATCAGTCAAAAGAGAATTATTGATTGGAATTTTGATTTTCTCAAAATTAAAACTTTTTTGCTTTTTAATCAAATCTTTTTTTTAAATGACCATACTAAACCCAAGTTCCAAAGTACAATTTGATTGTTCCAATCTCCAAGAAACGTTCATGAAATCAGGGTGAAAAAGTTTAGTTTTAACCAGTATGGTCTGCTGAACTCATAAACTATTTGTTTTTCATCCTCCAACTGCAGGGCTCAAAGATCCAGAATATATTTTTTCTCTTTTCCCTCGAACAGTGTGTGGAAAAAATAGGTGTGGATTTTGAATACCTGCTTTGGAGGATGTTTGTATTTTTGATTTCTGAGAAATTACATATAATTCAATCATTTTGCAGTATCCATTTGAGATCACACTTTCAATTTATACCAGAATTAACGTTTGGCCTTTTATTTTTGTAAAGTGTTAGGCAGGTATTTGTGGCTTATATGTTTCAATGGCATAACTTCAGTTAAATAAAGCTATATACAGATATAAATTGGCACCTATTGCAAAGTAAACCCGTTAACAAGATCCATTTTTAAAAACCAAATACACAGAGTATCATTAAACAGATACATTCTTCATCAGCAGCAGAAGGAAAAGAATGATTTTCTATGAGACACACATTTATATATATATATATATATACATGTATATACAAACATTTTGTAAATAGGTTGTCTGTTCATATGTTAACCTTATTATATTTGTTATAATTGCATATTAATAATATGTATCTCCTAATCAAATTAGGGCAATAAAGCTATACATACATACATACACAAAAAGCCCATGTTGTTTTAAGCATTTTTCCATTTGTGTTCAATTTTTGGATGTTGTTAGAAATTCTAATGGAATTCCTGTTCAGTGAATTAGGTGTTTCACTAGAATTTCTAGCAACAGGCTAAATAAATGAAAACAACAGGCAAAATTGATCGAAATTATAAATTCAACATGGAAAAGTTTAAAAGTCCCTAAAAACAACAGGCAATTTTGTGAAAACAACTGGTGAAAATCGTCTGTTGCCTGCTGCTAATGAAACCCCTGATGAATTCTTGTAAATGGCACCTTGTGAAAAACACAATATTTTCAGCATTTTGCTTGAATCATTGAATAAATATAGTATTGATCATTGTATGAATTTATTTTTTCTTTTTAAAATATAAAAATTCTTTATATCAAAAATAAAATTACAATTTACTCACTATGTCATTTCTACAACATTAAATGTTTTATCAAAGAGGATCAAATCATCCTGGTGATTCTTCTCCATTTATTAAGTATGGAATTGAAACACAAATAAGGAATTATATTCCAGGGTCCTTCAGCTTGATTGTTATGTTTCTGTTAACAATTTATCAAATATGGGAATGGAATAAATACCAAAGCGAGGAAAAATCTCAGTCCCTCAACTCTGTGAGCATCACAAAATCTAATTCCATGATTGAATATGGGAGTTAATATGTGAGTCAACATCACAGGATCCTTTAATGTGTCCTTCAACCCTGATATAATTTCTGATCCATTAATGAAGCATGGGAGTTTTCAGAGATGTGGTATCTGAGGGTCCATTGTCCATTAATTCAGACAATCCCAAGTACGAGAGTGACACCAATGTGGTCTTGTCCCATGGTCCTTAGTCTCCAACACAAAATCTATAATCCAATGTTTTAGTATAGGAGTGTGGAATAGAGGATTTCCTTGGGGCTGCACAATGTCTATGACCCTTTGACCCCCAAATATGAAAATTTAGTGTTGAGAAGGAGGTCACCTCCCAGGGTTCCTTAGTTCCAACACAATCTAGTCCCATGATGAATTATGGGAATTTAGCATGGAGTAGAGGATCATACCATATGGTTCATTTGGCCCCACACAATATCCTTTCACCCAATGTGGGAATTCAGTGTAGAGAAGTGTCCCATGGACTTTTACTCCATCACAATATTTCAACATTCAAGTGTGTGGATGAAATCCACCAGGAGTTGTCCCAGTCTTTGGTACATTGGGCACAGGGAGTTGGGCCTGAGCAATGTCCTCTAGCGCCCCCTGGATGTTGCCCAACAACATCTCTCCACGTTTTACTACATCTTCAAGACGATGAGCAGCTTCCTGGTTTTCCAACTCCAGTTTATGAAGACTTGCTACCTGAAGTGGAAATAAGTATTTTGAATTATAAGTGTATCATAAGTCGAAATAAAGAAAATATTATGCATGCTCTCAACTGAACAGATTTGGTTCCAATAAAATTTAAGAGTTGTTAAAGAAAATTGCTATTCAAACATAAATATTTATGTTCAAATACATGTTATTTCAGGCAAAAATATTTCCCCTATTACAAATATCCAGGGGGTCATTAAAAGAAACTTAGTAGAGTTAGTAAAGTTACGAATTCGTAAACCAATTGTTGTAACCAAAGATACAATGACTTCACAGTTAGAGAACAATGGACTATAGGAATTCCTAACTTTGCGAAGTTTCTGTTAATGACCCTGTGTCTACTAGATATAAGCTTGGTAGATGTTACCACTATTTAGACTTTCAAATGCTGAATAGTGCAAAACCTTATACTGAACATATGGTGGTTAAGGAACAGTACTTGTAATTTCATTTTCACGAAATCCCCATATTAAAAGCATTTACAAACCTGCAGTTCTGGAGAAGACTCTTCACTTGGCAGGGAATCTATGATGACATCAATGTCTTTAGCTGTTCTTGCTATCAATTCTGCAAACAATCTCGCATGATCTGGAATAAATTGCAGAGGCATGAATTGCAATTTAAACTTAATGCAGTTACAGTTACATGTTTTTCTCACTTGTGTATTTTAATCTCTTGGATTTTTTATGGTGTAATCTCCAACCTTCTAAACTAAATCGAATGTTAAAAACAATCTTCCATGATCCAGGAAAAAATGGCACATGACTATACATTACAATATTTGCAAATGAGAAACAGTAAGACATTGAGAGGATGTGGGTTTGATTCCTATTGAGAATGACTAACTTTCACACCAGCCCTAAACAGAGAATTTAATTCTGAGTCTACAAATCATCAAATGTTTATCAAGGTGTATAATGGTTAACCATAATTTGTCTCACTGAAGAGACATACATATATTTATTTTTTATTTGCAATTTAATTAAGCAAATAGAGACAAATCCTTTTGTTTGAAATTCATTAATATCCCCATTTTACAAACAACCAGAGCAAGTATTCAAATCATAAAGGGAGCACCAGACAAATATGAAACATATACCATATTTACCTTCATTTTCTACTGGTGCTGGAGATTTTGATACGGATTTATCGAAACCTACAAACTGACCCGATGGTGCAAACTGCTGAAGAATTCCAATACTATTGCAGAAATGATCAGCCATCTGGAAAATATAATACTTAACATTCAATTTATCAACTTCATACAACTGTTACTTTTGACTGACACATACACAAAGATGAAGAAATTTATTTTTGAAAATTTGAAAAATTGTCTGAAACAAAAATGGTGGTCATAAAATCTGAGGCCCGGGTATACAGTAAAATAAAGTTTCTTGTGTTTTACAACTATCTTGTTTTGTTACATCTTATTCACTCATTTGCATGAGTAAATAGCTAAGATAGTACATATACACTGGGATTACCAACATTAGTACACTGGGGGATTATTAAACACTTTATAACGTATGGCAAGGCCTCAGCATAAAATGGAAAATACTGAAAGCTGCTTTAATTTGACAGCCGTTTTAATTTGGCAGATTTTGCAGATTGATGACAACCGCCAAGTTAAGTCTACACCATTTTTTTTTTATAAATCCCTCGCAGGATAAAAAGATTTGAAAATACCCCACTAAAATGTCAATATTGAACTATTTTCGAGGATCTAGATCCACTGCTATTTATTTTTTTGAAAAAGGAGAGCATAACATTACTTGTATCTTTGTATAATTTTCGATTCACATTCTAAAAAGATATAGGAGAAGTTTGAATCAAGTCCGTGATCATCATTACAGTGGTTTCGAAAAATAATTGATAAGTCTTATATTTGGCATATTTTCTTGAATTTAAACATTTAATGTCCCAAACTCCCCAAAACTGCAGAAAAGTATACATCGTAAATGAGTGTCTCCAAGGCTTCATACAAGCATTTTCATACAATACAATGCAATGCATTTGTCACAAATTTGAGCTGACATTTCGCTAAAATGAAGTAAGGGTAATCTCCACCAGGTTTGTTCATTGTGGTTAGCTTTTAAGGTACAGCTGGAAAGTAACATTTTGGTAAAAAATTGCTATACCTGCACGTTATTTTCTGGTACAAAATAAAAAATATGAACAAAATCGCTCCACTACTTTTTCGAGTCATAGTAGAATACGTTAAAATGGCGGCCATTTTTCAAAATTGTTTTCAAAATGGCCGCCTTCTACCAAAAGTGTCATAGGACAGTGTGCCATGCTTATAGTATTCACATACCAAATATGAACAAAATCGCTCCACTACTTTTCGAGTTATAGTAAAATACGTTAAAATGGCGGCCATTTTTCAAAATGGCCGCCTTCTACTAAAAGTGTCTTTAGACAGTGTGCAATGCTTATAGTATTCACATACCAAATATGAACAAAATCGCTCCACTATTTTTTGAGTTATAGCAAAAATCGTAAAATGACGAGTAAAGGCCGCCATTTTTCAAGATGGCTGCCATGTGCTTCTTTAATATCTACATTTGTAGCATTATTAATGTCCTTTATAATTTTTTTACATTTAAAACATATTGCTATTACAGTTTTACATATTACACCTAAATTATTGTAAAATCGGCACTAAAATGGCCGCCATTTTGAAATGAGCGGCCATTTTGAAAATCGGCTTTCGAGCAGAACTTCTACCCCCATAGGGTATATGTGTACAAAATATGAACAAAATCGGGCCAACGGTATTTGAGTTATTGCCCGGACGGACAGACAGACGGACGGACGGACGGACGTACGTACGGACGGACGGACGGAGGCGTTCCCTATATCCCTCCGAACTTTGTTCGATGGGATGATTATGAAGGCATGTGGCAATTTCCTTGCTTTTTTCAGGAAAGTATCATTACATTGTTTTCTTTTAGAATACCTGGTAGGAGTTCAAAGGGAACTCCAGGAAATTCCGATATTTCACACTTTGTATTTTTCCAAATTTTCTTTCAAAGTTTTCAGACAACACAGGAACAACCATTGACCTGTTTTCAGGTTTACTAAAAATAGACAGTGTAATGATCCTTTCCTGAAAAAAGCAAGGAAATACACACATGACTTCATACTAATTATGTACCAGAAAATAACATGTGCAGGTATAGCAATTTTTTATGTTACTTTCCAGCTGAACCTAATGGTAAGTGCTCAGAAGCAAATAATTCATGTGCACAAAATATTCAAATAATCTGTTTGGTTTTAGCTTTGTGCGCATGCGCACAATGTATGCCTTTTTTTCTAGTGATTTCGTTTCGTTCCAAAGAGTTTGTGTTTCAGTGTAACTTCTGCAAAAATGGTGGACCAATGACAGAATTAACAGGTAAAATATCACTTCGAAATAATTTGAACTTTTTATACTGTAATAATAGCAAAACCTTTGCTTTATTTGTGCATTCTATCTATCAGATAAGAGTCTCAGGGGTATTTAAGCAAATCCATTTTGGTAGGAGTACTCTTTTTAGTTTGAAAACCCACCATTTATTATTTACTGTTCGCACTGTAGTTTGTAGGCTATCCGATAGTCATATAAATCTGACCCTCGTATGATGTTATTTTTTCCGATTTGCATATTTATTTTTTCTTATTTTCTTGCATATGAGGGTCATACACACTCCCCGCATCTATATTGCGGGAAATGCTTCCCTGGCATGTCCACCCAACCAAATTCACACAAATGATAAATAAATTTCTTTGCTTCAACTATAAAGTATTTAATCTTACCTTAGGCTCGTAAAACGCTTGGTAATTGAAGAAATATAAGTATGCCGCTTGAATTTTAAAATTTTTTCATTTTGCCATACCAAGGTCACTTCCGGGTTAATCTGAGTCTTGATGTAAAACTATATCAAACGAAATCATAAGTATTTGTTACACGAAGATTCAGTTGAATGGGAAGCAGTGTCGTTAAGAAGGGAAGTTATTTGGAAAAGTTATTGTTTCAAAATGAGAAAAGTAATAAGGATGAGAGAATGGCTTTGGAATCGATCTCTGTGTAATAAATAATTATGATTCTGTTTCGATACATGTTTTACATTTAGACTACCGGAAACAACATTTAGCAACATGGCGGGCAATAATGAAAATATAATTCAATTAATTATATTTTGTCAATTATCAAGTGTTTAACATGTCTAAGGTAAGATTTAACACTTTGATGTTGGAGCTAAATAATTACTCAATAATTTGTGTGACTTTGGTTAGTATGGTAACTATGGTTACCCAGACAGGCCAGAAAAGCGTTTACCGCAATTTGTTAGCAATTACGTCTATGACCATATATGCTAAGAAAATGATAAAAAATAAATATCCAAATAAGAACAGCATACAACGGTCGGATTTATATGACTATGAGTCCATTTCACTGTTTAATTGCGTCAGTAAAAGCTAAAAAATAAGATCAAAATATCATTTTGCAATAATATATGGAAAAATATATTCCTATTGTACATGAATGACATTTGTATATCTTGGATTGCTTCTAGTTTGGCTTATAAAGTGTGTGGCCTCTTATATTTGGATGCTTCTCTGCCATGTTATTTTCAATAAGATTAACATGGCTGAAATTCTTCAAATTACAAGACAGGCTTATTGCACAAAAAACTAAAAACTCTGAAATATACAAATGTCATTCATGTACATTATGAATATACTTTTCCATATATTATTGCACAATGGTCTCCCAATTTCTTATTTTTGCCATTCTACTGACGCAATGAAACAGTGAAATGGACTTTACAGTAAAATTTTAAATGTTAGGAACTGCTTTGAATTTAAAAAATAAGCAATCAAATGACTATATTGCAACAGTATATACAGGGTGTCAAATAAGTCCCGTCCCCCCCTCTACAGCCAAAACCAAGATATTTGGTACCAAGTGTGATATATCATTGGAAAGGTCTTCCAAAGTTACGTTGATTGGCATATATCTGACACATGTCAATCAATCTCACAAATTTTTACATTGTATCAATTGAGGTGACCATATGCCTAGAAACATGGCAATTTTGCGTATTTGGCAGGATCTTAAGAATCGGGTATAAGAAAGGTCAAGGGACCAAAAGATGACTAAATATGTTTATGGCGATGAATTTTACCAATTTCTGGATGGGGTTAGATGTGTAGAAAATAAAGGTGAAAGGAAAGTGGTGAAAACCTTTTTGTAGCTAGTTGAATGCAAAAAAGATTAACTTTTTGACGTATTTCTGATGTCATATCCTTGTCATTTTGACGCAAAAAAGCTACTTAAAGGAGGGCACATTAACTATAAAAGACATCATAGAAATATAGGTAAATTTCATCCAAAATACTTGAGAGTTGGTGAATTAACATAACTTTGGATGATCTTTACAATGGTATATCACACTAGGTACCGTCTGTTAAGGTTTTAGCTGTAGCAGGGGGGACGGGACTTATTTGACACCCTGTAAAAAAATAGAAACATATGTACTTGTCCTAACTTTTGTATATTTCAGATAGTTATGTATAATGTGCAGCAAATCTGTGGCCTTTTGTAATTTAGGGAGTTTCAGCCATGTTAATTTTTCCAAAAATAACATGGCGGAGAAGCATCAAAATATAAGAGGGCACAGACATGATAGCTAAACTACAGAACAAACTAAAATATACAGTTGGGGACAAAAATAAATGACAGGTCGATTTTCGATCACCATTTCCTAATTATGGTGGTCTGAAAGCCCATAATTTCCAATATTGTCTAGATACATATCCCTTAAAATTTGTATATTTTACATTTTGTATAATCTCATCCACTGATTTATGGCCTCTTGTAAATTCTCTTATTTTTAACATGGGAAATCCTCACTTCAGCAAATCCACCTGTCAATAATTTATGTCCCCTACTGTACAAAAGTTAGGACATGTATAAATGTTTCTATTTTTACATATACTGCTTCAATATGGTCCTTTCATTGCTTATTTTTTAAATTCAAAGTAGTTACTAACATTTAAATTTTAACTGTACAGTGGGGGACAAAAATAAAACTCAACGTTCACAAGTTGTCACAATGAGCTTATTTCCAAGTTTCGTGTCTCAAACTCTCCCAAGCGGTAGAAAAATAATTCCCGTTCACTAAAGTAGCACAATAAATGAATCCAAAGCTTCATACCTGCAAATAATGGATAAATCCCTACCAAATCGAATGAATGTTTTCATGAATCGCCATGTTTGTTATCCAAGGATGGTTGACTCCCAGAATGCAACATCAGTTAAGGACAGGGTGCATGTTGGGAAATTTCTGAATTCCTCAATTGAGTCACATGTTATTTTTCAAACAAGAATAACTCCTTCTCCACATTGCCTACATCTTCCAGGTTTGCACAAAGAGTGCACTTATGTGCCTAGAAAAGCCTTGTGAGAAGATTTGTTTTGTAAATTGTATAAAAAACGAGAAAATTCAGTGAATTTTTTCACTGAATTTTCTTGCTTTTTATACACTTTATCAAAACATCCTTCTCACAAGTCTTTTCTAGGCACATAAGAGCACTCTTTGTGCAAAACTGGAAGATACAGACAATGTGGGGAAGGAGTGATTCTTGTTTGAAAAATAACATGTGACTCAATTGAGGAGTGCAGAAAATTTCCCATCATGCACCCTGACCTTAACCGTATTTACTCATGACAGGTTTCAAAATGGCAGAACAGCATTTTGAAAGCTGGCACGTGTCATGTTGCATTCTGGGAGCCAATCCTCCGTTCCGGCGCAATCGGGCGACAAAATCACCTCAACATTTGAAGAGTCGGCATAACATGTGAATATCCAATTCAACTTTTGAAGTTCTTATTTGTCATTAGGGACACAAATTCCACTATATTTGGACTTACTAAGACGGAGCAAATAGAGCACTGAATACACTGAGGTAAGAATTTATTACATGTGCGACAGCATGTAATTTTCATAGCTTTTGCAATTCTTTATGATCCCAACTGTAGCTAGCCTATCCGAAAAAATCAAAAATCATCGAAAATTATATGAAAAGATTGATATGCTCGCTAAATTGTTATTTTGCGCAGAAAAATAAATGCTTAAGAGTTTTGACATGTTGAAGCCTATATATCATACTACAAATATTGAATATTCACTCCACATAATCGACGAACTAAGGAAAAATACCTGATTTACAGCATCTTGAAGTTGTGTTAGACGATCCGCCATTTTGACGTTCACCTTGACCTTTGCTGCTAAAAGATAATAATAAATTTATATTATTAGTTTTATTACCTGTAACATAAACCCAATTTTTCTAAATCTATTTTAATGATAACATTGCCATTTTAATTTCTTTATACAATTATGGAAATAAAAGGATAAAATTATGTTTCAATTTTGGTTTTGAGACACCGTGTTTTAGAAAAGGTATCCCCGAAACTCACTTTCGTCCTTTCCTACACAAATAGCCAGCGTGCAAAGACGTTTCGTGTCTCCACATAGACTTAAAAGTGAGCTATTTCATATATACACCCACTGCTTTACATTTATAAAAATCACATATGCATTTACGTTTTCGTATTCATTGTTGTGCACCTTTTAGTTCATTTGGTGAACCATTTACTGCTGTTCTTTGGTGGAAAAGATGGGAAAATTTCCACAAAAAATGATGAAAAAATAAAAAAGTCTCAAAATCATCAGGTTTCAAATCACAAAAAGCAGAATATTCCTGTAATGAATATTATAAAAATATCATTTCATGAAATGATGTCTCCAGGTTTTGTGTCGTCGTAAATTTTTTCATCAACTTTGGACTGGAAAGTGAAATTATATTGAGGGCAAAGGGATGAAACATCGATAAGTTTCAAAATCTAACATGGCTCTCGAAGTGAGTAACATGTGGGGTAATGTCTACATGAGAGTAACTTCAACATTTTCTGTTTTCCGCCATGTTTGATTTCTGGGAAAATTAAAATATCGCCAGATCTCGATCCATGCGAGAAAAAAAACATGTCTTCCACCTAGGTCAGAAATTAGGGCAAATAAACAAGGTGTCAAAGTTATCCCACATGTTGAAGTTATCCCACATGTCTCATTTTTGATGTAGAGGGAATCCATTTTTTCTCACATGGTATGAGATCTCGCAAGAGCTTATTTTACGAAATTGTACAAGGCGGAAAACTGAAAATTTAATTTATCCACATTTTTCATGTCGACATTACCAGGCACAGTCCAGCTCCAAAGTAAACATTTTGATTGTTACTTTGGCGTTTATACTGTGTAGATCAATTGTTGTACACGCTATATCACCTCTTCTGATTATGTGAAGTTGTGACACGAAGTTTCAACGACAAGTTTTACTAGAATTTCTCACAACAGGCTAAATAAATGAAAACAATAGGCAAAATGAATGGAAATCATAGATTTAACATGGAAAAGTTGAAAAGTTACTAAAAACAACAGGCAATCTTTTGAAAACAACTGGTGAAAATTGCCTGCTGCTAATGAAACCCCTGTCTCAGGAGCTGTTTGAAGAATATGATAGATCAACAGTCTTCTATTGGGGTCTAATCCTATCAGAGATCAAGATATATTTCATTTTGCCTTTATTATCCCATCGAACAAAGTTCGGAGGGATATAGGGAATGCCTCCGTCCATCTGTCCGTCCGGGTAATAACTCAAATACTGTTGGCCCGATTTTGTTCATATTTTGTAAACATATACCCTATGGAGGTAGAAGTTCTGCTCGAAAGCCGATTTTCAAAATGGCCGCTCATTCAAAAATGCAATTTAGGTACAGTATGTAAAACTGTAATAACTGTAATAAACTGTAAACTGTAGTTAGGGAGGAGGGGGTTCAAATCCATTTCAGTTTGTTATCTGAAAAATTTCAACATAACATTTTTGGCTTGGAATGGTTTAAAAATAAAGACTACCTGATGTTTTCTTCGTCGAGATCATTCTATTCTATCAATATTTTTGTTAAGGCCGCAAATTACGATAGGAATTAACAAAAACTATATCGTTTTTGGAAATAATTTTTCAAATTCTCAAACTGGAAGTCAGCGATCAACTTTCATGGTATTAAGTTTTGGGGGAAGGGGGGATCAAAGTCAAAACTAGATTTATTTAGTTTCCAATCTGACATCGAATTTTTGATGCCTCCCCTTATATTTCTCACTACAAGGCACAGTCCAGCTCCAAAGTGAACATTGTGATTGTTACTTTGGCGTTTATACTGTGTAGATCAATTGTTGTACACGCTATATCACCTCTTCTGATTATGTGAAGTTGTGACACGAAGTTTCAACGACAAAATTATCTCACAGGGGTTTTACTAGAATTTCTCACAACAGGCTAAATAAATGAAAACAACAGGCAAAATGAATGGAAATCATAGATTTAACATGGAAAAGTTGAAAACTCACTAAAACAACAGGCAATCTTTTGAAAACAAGTGGTGAAAATGCCTGCTGCTAATGAAACCCCTGTCTCAGGAGCTGTTAGAAGAATATGATAGATCAACAGTCTTCTATTGGGGTCTAATCCTATCAGAGATCAAGATATATTTCATTTTGCCATTATTGTATGTAGCAATACACTAATTATTAAGTTTAGGAGGTTTGGAGTATGGGGGCTGTCTAGCCTGCAATGCTCTCCCATCTCATCTGTTAAGATTAAGGTTGTCCTGCATGTTCGGAATTTTGATGAAATCCTCAGTAGAGTCGCATGTTTTTTTTCAAATATCTATCACTGAAATATGAAGACATTGTGAGGCAGGAGTGAATGTTATTTGAAAAATAACATGCGACTCTATTGAGGATTGCATCAAAATTCCGAACATATAGACTGACCTCAAGCTGAATAAGGATAGGGAACTGATTTTATTGTTCACTATCGACTTCTTTTGGATATCTTCAACTGTTACCTGCTCTGAAACAGTTTGAGAGATTGAGGAGAAGAATGTAATGTACTCATTTTGGATTTTCTATCTGGAAAACTTAATATGTTGTCTCCAGGATGTGATATGGTTATCAAAATATTTAGGCAATTTGTTTTCTTGAACTTATTTTTTTAATGACTACATGTTTTGCATAAACAGTTAAAACCTATGAAATAAAGTAAATCTAAATAGTCAGCAAGAGTTTGAAAAACATCTTATGCAAATATCCTCAAATTTCCTTTAAAAATCTGTCAAGTTCCACTTTACCTTCAATCATATTTATCATCCATTCCCTAGCATTTTCCAAAATTGATTAAAGTGACTTTCAAAGACTTTAGAGGCTAAAATGTTTTGATCAAAACAGTTAAATCAAGAATTTAGTGGGCTGTTAAAGCTGTACCATGAGGGGAGGCATAAAAAGTGCGATGTCGGATTGGAAACTAAATAAATCTAGTTAGAGGGGAGGGGGTTCAAAGCCATTTCAGTTATCTGATAAATTTCAACATTTCATTTTTTGCAATTTTGACTCTGAATGACTTGGAATGGTTTAAAAATAAAGACCACCTGATGCTTTCTTCATCGAGATCATTCTATTCTATCAATATTTGTTAAAAGCCGGAAATTACGATAGGAATTAACAACTAGATCGTTTTTGGAAATAATTTTTCAAACTCTCAAACCGGAAGTCAGCGATCAACTTTCATGGTATTTAGTTTTGGGGGTGAAGGGGGGTCAAAGTCAAAACTAGATTTATTTAGTTTCCGATTCAACATCGAACTTTTGATGCCTCCCTTAGAGATTGAGGAGAAGAATGTAATGTACTCATTTTGGATTTTCTATCTGGAAAACTTAATATGTTGTCTCCAGGATGTGATATGGTTATCAAAATATTTAGGCAATTTGTTTTCTTGAACTTATTTTTTTAATGACTACATGTTTTGCATAAACAGTTAAAACCTATGAAATAAAGTAAATCTAAATAGTCAGCAAGAGTTTGAAAAACATCTTATGCAAATATCCTCAAATTTCCTTTAAAAATCTGTCAAGTTCCACTTTACCTTCAATCATATTTATCATCCATTCCCTAGCATTTTCCAAAATTGATTAAAGTGACTTTCAAAGACTTTAGAGGCTAAAATGTTTTGATCAAAACAACAACAAGGCACAGTCCAGCTCCAAAGTGAACATTGTGATTGTTATTTTGGCGTTTATACTTTGTAGATCAATTGTTGGAACACGCTATATCACCTCTTCTGATTATGTGAAGTTGTGACACGAAGTATCAACAACAAAATGTAACAGAAGTTAAAGAAAATGAAAAAAACTACAAATCATGGCATGAAGTTTTCATAAATTCTACCATTTTGTCATTTCAGAATGCGTTACGTTGCCGCATACCTGCTAGCCGTTATTGGCGGAAACAAGAGTCCCTCAGTTGGGGATATTGAGAAGATACTTGGGAGTGTTGGTATCGAGGTGGAGAAGGCAAATGCTGAGAAGGTCATCAGTGAACTGAAGGGAAAGAACCTTGAAGAACTCATTGCTGAAGGTAAGAAAGCTTAGATGTTTAACTCTAAAGGAATAGTCAAAATTAATACCTGTATGATTCTCATAATGATTTTACAAAATATGGCCCACGAAATTGTGTCTGGTCAGTATCTTGAGGAGTCTTTGTGTTTAGATCTGTGCTAAATCATGCATTCTAACGTTATTCACAGATCATCTCGAGTGAGATTTTGTGAATATTGAACAGAAACACAGTCTAGCTGCAGAGCAGATCATAGTTTCTGCTTTAGCGTCTCAAGCTGTGGAGAGTCAATGTTGTACATACTAATCACCTCTTCTGATAATGTGAAGTTGTGACTCACGTTTCAACAACAAAATACTGATGTATAATCTTTCCAATGTTTCCAGTGAATTGCTAGATGTTCTCGTTAAAAGTTTTATTGCCGACTGACATACAGAATATTGTGGAACTGGAAATAGGCAGTTTTACTTTGCGTCATATGGTTATAAGAGCGCTCTTAAGGGAATAATGAACGATTGTCAGTTACTGTTATTGTCTCCAACTATTTATGTGACAGTATTCGTAACAAATGGCAGTTGGTGACATTTTGCATGTAAATGCCTTGTCCCAACTTATTTCTCATTCGCTCACATTTAATCTTGTGTATTTTCAGGTTCTGAGAAGCTTGCCTCTATGCCATCTGGAGGTGGTGGTGGTGGTGCTGCAGCTGCCCCTGCCGCTGGTGGAGAAGCCAAAGGTAAATAAATATATACATAACTTAAGTGTCTGTCACATTTGCTCTACGGTGCTTCGCAAAATCTATATTGAAAATCTACATCGTACTGTTTATCCCTTTATTTTTGCTGCATATTTCTCTCGATTTTGAGAAGCTGCTGCAGCTGTATGGTTGCCGTAGATCAAATGGGACTGAGGCATAACTGTCACTTACATCATGGGTCACTCTTACTGATTTTCTCAGGCTGGGATTAATTCTCACAAAATTAAAAATTATTCTGTTTATTTACTAGTCAAAAATCTCTGGTTTCACCTTGCTTGAGGTAAAAGGTAAAAGATTGAGGATTAGAAAGGAATGATTTGCCCTTTGTGGAAAAATCTTTTGAGCACTGCAAGATATGATCAATTTAGAGGAAACTGAAAGTTGCATTAGATTTGATACTAATTAACAAGAGTGATGACAGATAAAGCATTGGGCTATGATCTCCATGATTCTAACTGCTTTACTGACTTGTTAGATCAATAGAATGCAAGATTGCATTCAAATTCATCTGATTTAACTTTCTGATGCAAAAATGGAAAGGGTGTTATTCTGCAGCAGTACAGTCATCTTCATGTCATGATTTTTTCATTCCAATAAAATATATTTATTTTTAGGGGGGATATATAAATGAATTGTTATAGGGGTTTCAACAACAGGCAAAATTAATTGAAATTATAGTTTAAACTTGGAAACAATTTCTCAAAACAATCACAGATAATTACCCTTTGTAGATTACTGGTGAAGTCCCAAATTTTGAACTTTCCTTTACCAATACACTCATCTTTTCACTCTTTGTGCTTTCAGAAGAGAAGAAGGAAGAAAAGAAGGAAGAATCTGAAGAAGAGGAAGATGACGACATGGGATTCGGTCTCTTTGATTAAACAGACTCTCAAATATCTTCTCGTGTAGAAAATATGAAATAAAAAAAAAATATGAAAAAAAAGTATTTCTAGGATTTATGTTGCAGTCGTCTTGAAGATGATTGTTGTGTAGTCAAGAAGAATTGTAAGGCAAGCCATCTCCAACGTGATGCAATATTGTTATTCGAATTCGTGCCTGTATATTGCTACGGCTGCAAGGAAAATGGCGATATTCTTAATTTTGTTTTCATGACATGACCATGTGATACCCACATATGGAAGAATATCGAGTTGCGTCCCTGGGAGCCAATCTTCCTTGTGTGTAGTGTTGTAGCCATTACTGAAAAAGTCCACAATAACAGGTTTTTGTCCGTTTCCGTACTGCACAAGTACAATCCAAGGAGGATTGGCACCCATGGCTCCAACTCATTTTCTGCAATATATTGAGTCATGCTGTGATAAAATCAAACCAATGCCATTTTCCCCAAAAATTGGGTATTTACGATATGGAGTTGGAACCCTGACATGCCTGAGAACCAATAATCCTTATGTGCAAATGCAATCCTAATTTTTGGAGAAACATCACACGTTTGAAAATGTCTACATAAAAATAATCCATTCTTCGTGGATAGGTTAAGTCCAAGAAAGTTACAAGAAACGGCCAAAGTTACGCTTTTTGAAAATGCTACATTTTCTAAATGTGTTTTGAAAATGCCTACATAAATCCATTGTTAAATTATATATTGTACGTAAGTCTGCCCGTCCGGGCAATAACTCAAATACCGCTGGCCCGATTTTGTTCATATTTTGTACACATATGCCCAATGGGGGTAGAAGTTCTGCTTGAAAACCGATTTTCAAAATGGCCGCTCAAAAAATGGCGGCCATTTTAGTGCCGATTTTACAGTAATTTAGGTACTGCATATAAAACTCTAATAGCAATATGTTTTAATAATACATTGATAAAGCTAGAAATGTAGATATGAAAGAAATACATGGCAGCCATCTTGAAAAATGGCTGCCTTTGCACGTCATTTTACGATTTTTGCTGTAACTTGAAAAGTAGTGGAGTGATTTTGTTCATTTTTGGTATGTGAATACTTTAAGCATGGCACATTGTCTAATGACATTTTGGGTAGTAGGCGGCCATCTTTAGGTGTGTTATTTAACATTTTTACTGGAAGTCAAAAAGTAGTGGAGCGATTTTGTTCATATTTGGTATGTGAATACTTTAAGCATGGCACAATGTCTAATTACATTTTGGGTAGTAGGCGGACATTTTTATGTGTGTTATTTTACAATTTTTACTATAACTCGAGTACTGTAGAGCGATTTTGTTCATATTTTATATGTGAATGCTATAATCATGGCACAATGTCTAATGACACTTTGGGTAGTAGGCGGCCATTTTGAAAAATTGCCACCATTTTTACGTTTTTACTATAACTTGAAAAGTAGTAGAGCAATTTTGTTCATATTTGATATGTGAATACTCATGAGCCTTGCACACTGTCTCATGACACTTCGCGTAGTAGGCGTAGAATTTTATATGTGGCTACTTAAAGCATATTACTTCTTCTGATGACAACTTGGCTAGTGATCAACCATTTTGAAAATGGCGGCCTTTCTTATGGGTGTTATTTTTTGATATTTGCTATATATTTCAAATGTAAAAATGCCAGCCATTTCTGTTCGATGGGATTTGCTACGCTTTGGCGTTGCCGTTGTTCTGGTTGACATAGACATTGCAGTACATAAAGTTATAAGTTTAAAGGCAAAATAACGTATCTTAAAAATGCAAACGTATAAAAGTAGATTACTCTTCACGAAAAATTACTAAGTGCCAAATAGCGCTTTTTCAAAAGGATTATCGGACCATTTTTTGTCTTTCTCCCATACTCCAGTAAAACTGCTGTAAATTTTCACAAATAAATGAAAAAATTGCACACCAGGGTTAACCTGGTGTAATCAATAGCCATTGGTAATTAAAATAACATATCAAAAATAGGGGTACTATGATAAACATTAATAACTCCTGTTATATAACTTCAATCATAATGAAATCTTCAGGGTTCATGCGCATATATCAGGGGTGGATCTGGGAACCAACAAGGGGGGCCCAAATTTCAGGTCAAAATCCAATGACCTGAATAAAATCTGAGGCCATGTACATGTATTTGACATGCATCATAAAATTGAGGTCTTTTACGATTATAATATGATAAAGAAAAATGCAAACGTATAAAAGTAGATTACTCTTCACGAAAAATTACTAATGTCGTAAACAGACAAGAAAAATAACTATTTGCATTCATGAAGTTTAGCGGTCATACATACTTCAATATAGACCAGAAAATCAATTGTTCTGGCTATTGTGATGTCACGTATCATATTAGAAATTAGAGGTTATAGTCATTAATTTAGGGAAAAATGCTCACACAGGTCTTTTCTTGTTGTTACCCCCCTATCACACCAAACTAGTTCTTACCCGTTCTTGCCAGTCCTACGAAAATGTCGTAAAACGGGCTCAATCTGGCTGCGGGATATACAGGGTGTCAAATAAGTCCCGTCCCCTCCCTCTACAGCCAAAAACAAGATATTTGGTACCAAGTGTGATATATCATTGAAAAGGTGTTCCAAAGTTACATTGATTGGCATACATCTGACACATGTCAATGAATCTCACAAATTTTTACATTGTATCAATTGAGGTGACCATAGGCCTAGAAACATGGCATTTGGGGTATTTGGCAGGATTTTAAGAATTGGGTATAAGAAAGGTCAAAGGACCAAAAGATGACTTAATTTGTATATGGCAATGAATTGCTGGATAGGGTTAGATGTGTAGAAAATAGAGGTGCAAGGAAAGTGGTGAAAACCTTTTAATGTAACAAGTGGAATGCGAAAAAGATTAACTTTTTGATGTTTTTCTGAGGTCATATCCTTGTCATTTTGACACAAAAAGCTGCTTAAACGATGGCACGTTAACTATAAAGGACTTCATGACAATATAGGTAAATTTCATAGAAAATACTTGAGAGTTGGTGAGTTAACATAACTTTGGATGATTTTTCCAATGGTATATCACACAAGGTGCCGTCTTTTAAGGTTTTAGCTGTAGCAGGGGGGACAGGACTTATTTGACACCCTGTATGTCTAAAATAATTAGCTACTTCGTTCATAAACAGTCTTCAAAACGTCCATCTCATTCGCAGTTCGTTCAGGTCGCACCACGTCGGTGTGCAACGTAGTATAAACTGTCCCTTAGTCTAGAGGGTCATCATGACCTGATTACAGAACGGTATGGTCGCCATCGAATTTTGAATCGATTCAAAATTCTAAATCACATACCCCGTCCGGGAAAGTCCATGAAGTTCGTAAACAGACCGTAGAACGTTGTAGCTACGTTCATACAGTTCGCACACAGTTTAAAACTGATTCGGCAACGTTTTGACGATCACCAGAAAATTTTGAGCATGCTCTAAGTGCTGGAGGACCTACTCGTTCTAGTAGTTTAATGAAGTTTGTAAACAGATCCCAAACGGTTCTTAGTGGGTTCTCAATGGGTTCGTACTAAGAACTTCTTAGTACGTCAAATCCGTTCGTGCACAGTTTAAGCCCGTTTTCGAGAACGTAGTGAGAACTAGTTTGGTGTGATAGTAGGGTTAGAGATCTCATGTCTGCTATGTAGTCGTTTAACTGTTTTAGCTTGTGTAATAGAATATGTTGCTGCTTCTGTCACAACTGCTGGAGTAGCTTCTTGTGTCATTTTCTCTGCAGTTATAGCTGGTGTAGTAGAAGATGTTGCTGCTACTGTCACAACTGCTGGAGTAGCTTCTTGTGTCATTTTCTCTGCAGTTATAGCTGGTGTAGTAGAATATGTTGCTGCTTCTGTCACAACTGCTGGATTAGCTTCTTGTGTCATTTTCTCTGCAGTTATAGCTGGTGTAGTAGAAGATGTTGCTGCTTCTGTCACAACTGCTGGAGTTGCTTTTGTGTCATTTCCTCTGCAGTTATAGCTGGTGTAGTAGAAGATGTTGCTGCTTCTGTCACAACTGCTGGATTAGCTTCTTGTGTCATTTTCTCTGCAGTTATAGCTGGTGCAGTAGAAGGTGTTGCTGCTTCTGTCACAACTGCTGGAGTAGCTTCTTGTGTCATTTTCTCTGCAGTTATAGCTGGTGTAGTAGAAGATGTTGCTGCTTCTGTCACAACTGCTGGAGTAGCTTCTTGTGTCATTTTCTCTGCAGTTATAGCTGGTGTAGTAGAAGATGTTGCTGCTTCTGTCACAACTGCTGGATTAGCTTCTTGTGTCATTTTCTCTGCAGTTATAGCTGGTGTAGTAGAATATGTTGCTGCTTCTGTCACAACTGCTGGAGTTGCTTTTGTGTCATTTCCTCTGCAGTTATAGCTGGTGTAGTAGAAGATGTTGCTGCTTCTGTCACAACTGCTGGATTAGCTTCTTGTGTCATTTTCTCTGCAGTTATTTCACATTTATTTGCGTTTGAGCAAAGCGACATTAGCAAATAAATGATTTCTTTGTGCGTTGCGTAAATGGAACAGTTAGTTGTGTAGGGATAAGAGGTGATTGGTCGATGCTAGCTTAGCGAGTGAGTGATACGGTTCGAAGGATAGAGCGTCGGTTGTATAGTCATTTTGAGTTCTTGCCACGACATAAACACACAACATATTTTTAAACACAATATAAAATTTGTAATTTGTATCGTTATACATTTGATCTTAAATCGATTGTTTATTTTTGTTAAGTTGAGAAACATTTACTTTATTAAACGTTATTGTATCAGGGTACGAGTGTATTTTATAATTCTAAAACATTTACATGTCCTTGATCGATCGCGTACCTTTTCCTCATTTGTTAGGGGTTTTTAATGGCCGGGATCGATCAATTTCGCTAAATGTAATATTTAAGCCCTAATGATCTCGCTTAACGGTCTAGCTCTTTCATGTATTTAAGACTTTTTCAAAATAGCATATTGTAGAGAACATTATTGAGCCATTGTTATCAATGTTTGTAATTCACGTATATTGTACCATGTTCGTAACACCATGATT